AACGGTGAGAAAGACCTTCTGGTCATAGTAAAACACTGCTCATTTTTTAATAACTTCTTATTATTACCTGAATTTACAACTCACTGTCTTAGACTTCTCTCAGAAAATTTTAGTGTAAGTTTAAAATATAATCTAAAAAGGTACAGCTTTTTAGAAAAAGGGTACAAGATGTTCTGGAGATAGGAATAGATCTTTTGTGAAAGTAATATGGACCTGTCACTTTTTGATTTCTTCTCAATACCTCCTGCTGATTTTTGTTTGTTTTCATTGTGTAATTACTGGCGGTTATAGAAAATTCAGGGGGAAGGTAGCGTATTGTTTCTTGTCAAACTTTGGGCTCTATAACCCTCCGTTATGTATTGTATTCCTTGTGGCAAGATTTGAAGTTTCAGCTATGCAAATGAAAGAAGTCAGACCAGGTTTTAGTCTTTCAGCATGCATACTGTTATTTAACAATTTTTTTAATTTGGAGAAAGTAGATGAAATGAATTTTCTAAGGTCCATCACTTAATTGAATCAGATTTAATGGTATGAACTTCTGTTCTCCCTTTATTCCTTATATCCAGACCTTTTGAGGTTTAGTAAAGAAACAAAGGATTACCAATAGTATCTTTGGCCATTAGAAAATGATGTGAATTTGTGCTGGGTTGACAGTAATACCTGCCGTCTTCATCGCATACAATCCAGTTCTTATCTGGTAATTTGTGTCAGTGTTGGTCAGTGCTTTATAAACATACATTATCTGTTTGCTCATACAGCCAGCAAACAAGGTCATAACAGTTCAGCTCCCATACAGGAAAAGAAATTATATTCGTTAACAGAAAAAAACTAGGCTAAACTAGCTCCAGAAAACCTGTGACAGCTCTTTTAAAGGCTCTTTGTTTTAGGCTTTTGATGAAGCAATTGCTGAATTGGATACACTGAATGAAGAGTCTTACAAAGACAGCACCCTGATCATGCAGTTGCTTAGGGACAATCTCACTGTAAGTACTGCTGGTTTACACGACTGCTTCTGGAGGGCTTATATAGTCTTGTACCTACTCACTGATCTAAGAATTCACTGTTCCCCAAGACTTGAGGGAATATGTACCCTGTAAGTAGAGTTAAAAGTATTAAGTTGTTAAATTGGTTATAAATGACTGCTAAAAGTTTTGCCCTTTGCAGTCCTCACTGGCTGCAGTAATACACGAAGAATTTTAATGCAGTTAAGCTCAAGACAAGGTGGCCCATATTGGGCCTACCTCCCTGAGTGAATGTTAGTAGCCCTATTTTTGATTATAGCTCTGTTTTTCTCTTGCAGCTGTGGACGTCGGAAAACCAGGGAGATGAAGGAGATGCTGGGGAGGGAGAGAACTAATGTCTGTTGTACTTCGTGATCTGTTCAGTGTCACTCTGTACCCTCCACATATATCCCTTTGTGCGATGATAAAAAAAAAAAAAAAAGAGTCGTACGTCGACTTTCAATTTTTCACAGCCTCAGCCTAGCAAAATGGTCCACAGGATAAACAGCTGGTATTTGTATCTAAAACTCAGATTGGTCACATAAATGCCACGGCATTCTGAAGTTTTGGTTTTGATTAACATTGACAGGATTACTGTGTGTTGAATTTTTTTTTAAACTGAACACTGTGATTATGGGGTTTTGTAACTTCGCAGAACTCTTACTGGTAGAAAAAAATAGATCTGAATTATGTGTAACTTTTTGGAAAGTTTAATCTGATATCAAACTAGTCACTGAAATAACAGTTCCATTGTAAAGTTGTACAGAAAGCTATAGAGATTATATTGTGAAGCTGGGACGCAGAGTGAGACACCTGTCCTGTGACATTCAAGTGTGACAGTAACTCACAGTCGTTCTGCCTGTTTGGGAGGGATTACAGACACTTGGCCAGTTTGGGCTGTTGCCACTCAAAAGTTCATGACTGCAGATGTCCAGTGTCTTCCTCCGAGTAAACTTGAAGCCTGAAGTAGAAACTCTTTGTGGCAGATAATTGGGTTTAACACCATGAAAAAGGTCCAGTGCTCCTAAAACACGTGACTAGCACCCCTTTCCCGTAGCCATCTTACTGATTTGCACCTTGCGCTCTAGCAGTGGAATCTGTTTCCCTTGTAACTGGGACCTAGAGAAGAAAAGGAAAAAAGCCGCATATCATATACAAGGTCTCATCTGTTTCCTGGGTCATACCTTTAAGAGTAATGTTCTGCAGAGATTGCCTTCCACCTGAGAAGTACTCAGCCTTTGAGTGCTTTCTAGCTTGGGGCTTTTAAATTTTGAAATCGAAACATTCTTCCCCCTGTCCTTTTTTTGACTGTTGACTCTGGTTTTTCTTTTCAGTCTTTAAACTTCTGTCCTGCTTCCTTAAGTTTTTTTTCTTTTTGAATTCTGTCCTTGTCTTCTCACCATTGTTTAATCTGGCATGGGCCAGGTGGGGGCTTGGAGGGGGTGAGCAGAGGGGGCGAGCACTTTGGTCAGCAGGCCTCGCTTCAGAGAGTTAAGAAGAGGTTCCAGCACATAGCTCTGACTTCCTCCAGTTCTCAGCACTCGTTTGCTCTTCAGTCCGACCAAGAATCTGAATCAAAAAGTGGTTTTCAATACCCATGATTTCTCCCTGTGTTGCACCCAGCCCTGATAACGCTTGTTAGTACCTGTCACCACATCCCCCAAGTGTGCTCCTCCAGCCAAGTTCACAGACCTGTCTGAACAAGACCCTATAATGCAGGGAAGTTGCATGAACACTGCAATGGGGAGAGTCCAGAATAGCCAGGCCTACCAAGTCTCACAGTACCCTTCTCCCTTGAACATTCCACGTTGCTGTAATGTCCACCTGTTTGTCCATCTGCTGAAATGAGAAAAGAAATCTTCATGCACTGATTTAAGACAAACCAAAAAAAGAAAAAAAAAAGAAAAAATCCCTTCCCCCTTTCTAGCTGAACAAAAACGTGCAGTTAATACTTGGCGCTTGAAAATGCAGTAGTGAATGTGGAACGAGCCTGTCTGTATATCTGGTAGCTCTTTCTTGCTTCGTTTTTCCTTACCAGTATTTCTGCCTCACGTTTGCTTCTGTGACGGTTATATTGCCTAGCAAGCACACCTGTGGTTGTGAAAATAGAATAGCAAAAAAAAAAAAAAAGATAAAAAAGAAAAATCCCCAGTTATTGATGTACTAGATTTGTGTATGTCTTTTAAACAGTTCTAGTTTCCACCTTAACACGGAATAATCAGGAAAAGTGTAAAAATTCAAAGTGAAATAAAAAATTTTATCAGTTGCCTGTGAACTAATGTATGGCGCCATCTGTATCACTGCCAGAACCAGCTACCTCTTCTGACCACACTTCCTTTTGGCTCTACTCTTTTTTCAAAGTGGGGAACATCTTTATTTCATCCTGTTTTGAACCAGAAGTCAAGGTGTTTGTAAAGGGACAGAAATAACCATTAATAAACAGCCACTCCCAACCCTCCACAAAAAAAAAACCATCTAGGTGTTACACTGCTTTTGTAGCTAAATCTCTAAGATTTGCTCTGGAAAGTTAGTTTGCATGCCATTTAAGACATACACACCCTCTTTTTAACCCTGAAATGTATACCAAGCCTTTGAGAGATGTTTGCATGAGGCTTGGTCGTCCTCAGGGTTCTCCCAGTCCGTCCTGTGTTCTAACACTTTCTTGGAACCTGCAGTTCTGTGTCCTCATGGCATTTGTCCCCTCTGCTCAAAACTTCCACACCCATAAGGTGATAGAAAAATCAGGGTACTTTTCAGCCCAAGATTTGTTAGTCTGCTGCTTGCTTGCTCCTGTATGCTGCACAAGTAGACTAGCTTCTGAGCTGTTTAACCTGTTGAAATTAAACCCAAGCAAAGGTTAGTGGGAGGCTACCTGCTTCGCAGTGGTAGGGAACCAAGAGAGTCCCTGTGAGAGGCAAGGGGCAGTCCTGGGAAAAATTACTGGCCCACAGTGCACTGGCATTTTCTTTTAAATGCCCCCCACACCATGGGTAGGTTGAGGCTGCAAGCTCAGCTTGGGGCCATCCCCCACCGCCTTGTACTGTTAAGGGCCCTACTGTTTCCATAGAGCAGTAGTGACCCTTCCTGATGGGAAGCAGATGGAAAAGCTTAGTCAAAAGAAACTTGGGAAAAAAAAAAAAAACTTGGGGGGAAGGGGGGCACTGCCTGGGTGGCTCAGTGGGTTGGGCATCTGACTCCTTTCCTCTCAGGTCATGATCTCAGGGTTGTGGGACCCAACCCCTAGTTGGGCTCCACATCCAGGTGGAGGATTCTCCTTCCTCTGCCCCTCCCCGCCCCAATCGCTCTCAAAAAAAAAAAAAGGCCAGGAATATCCTGGAAAGGATCTTGACATCTTGACCGTACAAGAACTAGTGTTGAGGGCAGACCCCTGTGGAGCAGTGGTTTAGTGCAGACTGCAGCCCGGGGTGTGATCCTGGAGACCTGGGATCGAGTCCCACGTCAGGCTCCCTCCCTGCGTGGAGCCTGCTTCTCCCTCTGCCTCTGCCTGTGTCTCTGCCTCTGTCTCTCATGAATAAATAAATAAAAATCTTAAAAAAAAAAAAAAAAACTATGTTGAGGAATTGGACTCAAAGTGGAGCCTTCAACCCCAAGTCGTAAAGCTGGTTCCAGAGGGTGTGCTGGGTTTGGGCCGTCTTAAGAAAAAGGCTCCTTGGGGGGGTGGGGGGGAGGCGGGCAGGGTGCCCCGGCTTTGAGGTTGGGTGTCGGCTCGGGACTGTTCGCCTGGGAGACGCCCGCAACGCACCCGGGCCCTCCAGCCCCAGGAGACCGGCTGGGGAGGGAAGTGGGCCCAGAGGCCCCGAAGGCTTGCAACGAGCCTCGCGCAGTCTCCACCCGCGTCCCCGCGGGGGGCGGGGTCGGGCGGCCCCACCTGGGGCTCCGGGAGCGCCTGAGGGGTCCCAGGTGGGCGCGGGGCGGGGGCTAAAGGGAGGGGCGGCCGCTCGGGGGGCAGGGCCCCGGCGCCGCGCCTGGGTTCCCACCATGAACGCCAGCGGCCCGGGCTACCCGCTCGCCTCGCTCTACGTGGGCGACCTGCACCCCGACGTGACCGAGGCCATGCTGTACGAGAAGTTCTCGCCCGCCGGCCCCATCCTGTCCATCCGCGTGTGCCGCGACATGGCCACCCGCCGCTCGCTGGGCTACGCCTACATCAACTTCCAGCAGCCGGCCGACGGTGAGCCCTGGGGCGGGGGCGGGGGCCGGACGGACGGACGGACGGACAGACGGACGCCGCGGCGCCCCCACCCACCCACAGCAGCTCGGGCCCCGCTGGCATCTCCGGCTGCTCCTGCATCTCTCGTTTTGCAGCCGGGGAAACTGAGGCCCAGAGATACAGGCCCTGCCCCCGAATGGCCCCTGAGACAGGAACGCGCAATAAGTGTGCGCCTACTGTGTGTTTTCTGGTGCTGCGTTTTACAGGGGAGAAATATTAAGGCTCAGTGAAGACAGGGCCTTGGGGTCAGGCCGACCTCGGGATTAGCAAGCCCGCAGCTGCGTGGCTTTGAGCAGTTACTCAGCCATTCTGAGTTCCAGCTGCCGGTCTGAAAAACGGGGTGGTACCTGCCTTACAGAGCCGTGGGGAGGGCCAGAGAGTCAACGCACCTGGTGAGGATGCAGGTGATGAGTGGAGAAGCCGCCAGAGCTGGGCCTCGGGCCCACACCTTTCCCGGCTGCCAGGCCTGAGTTTGCACCCAAAGTCTCCTCCACTCCAGGCCCTGAAACCAGGATTGCTTAGAGCTTGCAGGGTGGTTATGGCCCCACTTTCTTTGACGGTGGAGAGGATAAAGATGCAGCGCACCGGGTTTTGCCACCAGGGTGTGAGCTTGGCAAGGGTTCACACTCCGCACCTCCTCTCCGCCTGTGCAGTGGGGCTAACTAAGGCTTATTCCCCAAGAGCGTGGAAGGAGTGAGCTATGTCTGGAGCATCTCCAGTATCCTTGGGTGCATCGTAAGGGCTCGATAAATGCAAACTTGAGAAAAATAATGGCAACTATAACACTGAGGCGTAAAACTCCAGAAAAAAACCAAAAGGGCTGCTCTGGCCAAATCCAAACAACGCCACTCTTACTCTGGGTCTCCTGGGTGGGTGGGAAGGTTTCCTAAAAGAGGATTTGCTGGGGTGGTTCTCCCTGTTTCCCAGCAGGTGACTGCGCTGGATTCCAGAGAGGCTTCTTTGCTTCACCCACCACTGCCTCTAACCTCTTCTGCCAAGCCCTGCACTTCTGACCTTTTTGCCAGACTTCACAGATGAGACAAATTGAGCTCGGGGGAAGAGAAAGGACTTTTCCTCTTAGCTGGGAGGGAACAGGCTATTGCAGTGGCAGGGGGATGGGCATAGGCTGCTGTATGCAGACACACTACCATTTACTAAACTCCCATTGTGTGCCAAACGCAAAGTATAAGGCGCCTTACATATTTAATTTTCAACCTGTCCAAGCACCTGGAGGTAGATAGTAAGACATGGAAATAGGGTAGTATAGTCTCATCATCCCCACTTCACGGGTGAAGAAATAAGCTCAGAGAGGTGTTCTTCCCCCAAAGCCCTAATACTTGGGATTGAATCTCAACGCTGCCTCCTGGCACCTCTGAGCTTTGATTTTTTTTTTTTTCCTCCCTAACTGCTGCAATTCTTTGTCTTCTGGGCCCTCCATTCCATTTTCATCTCCTCTGTGTGCTTTCAAAACTGCAGAAGACCTTGCCCCACCACTGATCCTTCCCTCTTTCTGAGCCTCAGTTTTTACTTTGTGAACGGGGGGATAGGAACCCATGCTCCCGTGGCTGTTGCGAGAAGCTACATGAGACCCCAGTGGGAATGTGAGTGGAGGGCCATGCACATTCATTCCTTCTGCGTGTCTGCCCCTGAGGCTTCAGGCTCTTCTCTCAAGTCAGACCCAGACAGTGACACTTTCTTTACACCCCCTCCCCGCTTTTTCCCTCCCAGTGAAGCACCTCAGGGCTCAGGGAAAGAAATACCCTTACTTGCTCCTTTCTTTCCTCTTCCCATCCAGCGGAGCGGGCACTGGACACGATGAACTTTGAAGTGATCAAAGGCCAGCCCATCCGCATCATGTGGTCCCAGCGAGACCCAGGACTGCGCAAGTCGGGCGTGGGCAACATCTTCATCAAGAACCTGGAGGACTCCATTGACAATAAGGCCTTGTATGACACCTTCTCCACCTTTGGGAACATTCTCTCTTGCAAGGTGGGTGTGTCCCCTTGCTGGGGAGGGGCTGTGTCAAATAAATACTTGTGTGGCAGAGGGATCCCAAGCAGAGCCTCGCTTCACAGCCCATACGTCTGTTCCCTGCAGCTCTGGGGGTTCGGGGGCAGGTAGTTATTCCAGTTCTCTGGAAGGATCCATCAGAAGTCACTTGTGTATCAGTCAGCTCTTGCTGCGTAAGCAACACCAAAGCTTAGAGGCTGTCAACCCCGAAGACTTTATTTAGCTCCTAGTTCTACAGTTGGCAGTCTGGGCTATGTTCGGCTGCGCAGTTCTGCTCTCCACTGGGCTCCTTCATGTGCCCTTTGCAAGCTGACTGGTTCTGCTTCTAGAGGGTGGTCGGCTTTCCTCCCTGTGGTCTTTCCTGCTCCAGTGGGCTAGCCAGACTAGTTTCATGGCAGTGACAGTGTCCCAGGAGACCAAGTGGAAGCTCCCCAGGCCTCTTGAGATGTAAGCTCGCAACTGGCACACCTTTGCATCTGCTGCATTCTGTTGGCCAAAGCAAGTTGTGAGACCAGATTCAGGGAGAGAGGACAATGGAAATGACAGGATAAGCTTCGGTAGCAGTACGGGAAGGCTGCTAATTAAGGCCATTAGGGCAGTCAAGCCTTGAGGCTTCCTCTGGGCCACTGAGAATTGGACAGAAGGCTGGATGTGACTCGGGCAAGTCTCCAAGGCCTCATGAGGACCCGTTGTGGTTGTGGCCCAGGTCAGATACAAGGCACACACAGTGTGCGGCCTACCCCAGGAGCTCTCAGGCTGCTGGTTGGAGACAGTGAGACTTTTGGGAAAAGCTGGAAATTGGGCTCTGGAGGGAAAGCCTAGTGAGCCATGTAGTCAGAGGCTCAGGATAGAGAACAATACCATGTGGCTGCCTGGAAAAGGTTTCTGTAGCATGATGGGAAGAGTGCTAGACCTGTAAAGTCCAGCCAGCTGCTGAGCAAAGAGTCAGCACAACACAGTTGGTCAGATATAGGACTTTGCTGCTGACCATCCAGGGTTCAAATCCTGCCTCTTCCACATCCTAGCAGTGTGACCTCGGGCCAGCTGTGTAACCTATCCATACCTCGGCTTCCTCTAAAAGGGGACAGTGGTAGAACTACCTTCTAGGCTTGTTGTGCATGTATGTTAAGTCTGGTCATCTTCACAACATTGAAAGGCCACCTGCCCTCCCACCTCCATTTATCATCTAAGTGATAGTTAGAATAATCAGAAACTTGATGGCTAGTGACCTTGGATGAGACATTTATTCCCATTTTTCCCCAATCAGGAAGCTGGGGCTCAGAGGTTGAGAATTGCCTGGAGGGGCTCTAATAGCAAATAGGACCAGATAAATATGTGACCCCCTTAGCCAGTGCTTGGCCTGGAGTGGGGCCCTGGTCAATGTGATTTTTTAAAAAAATATTTAATTTCGGGATCCCTGGGTGGCGCAGCGGTTTGGCGCCTGCCTTTGGCCCAGGGCGCGATCCTGGAGACCCAGGATCGAATCCCACATCGGGCTCCCGGTGCATGGAGCCTGCTTCTCCCTCTGCCTGTGTCTCTGCCTCTCTCTCTCTGTGTGTGTGTGTGTGTGTGTGTGTGTAACTATCATAAATAAAAAAAAAAGTTTAAAAAAAATTTAATTTATGAGAGAGAGAGAGGCAGAGATACAGGCAGACGGAGAAGCAGGCTCCATGCAGGGAGCCTAATGTGGGACTCGATCCCAGGATCATGCCCCGGGCCAAAGGCAGGTGCTAAACTGCTGAGCCACCCAGGGATCCCCGTGATTAAATCTGGATGGAAGACCTGGGGCTAGAGCTGTGTGTGGAGGGACCCTGTGTGGGGCACAGAGTAAGCCCTGAGACAGTAGTCATTCCTTAACCTGGCCATTCTCTTGTACCCAAACCCTCTGTTGGGTACCCACCCCTTCCACCTTGTCCTTTTCCCCTGTGACCCAGGTGGTGTGTGACGATCACGGCTCCCGAGGCTTCGGCTTCGTCCACTTTGAGACCCACGAAGCCGCGCAGCAGGCCATCACCACCATGAACGGGATGCTGCTGAATGATCGAAAAGTGTGAGTGGTGGGGCGTGGGCGCCGCGGCTGCCAGGGGACAGGACTGCCCGTCACCGCTCACGGGCACCGGGCACAGAGACACAGAGCCGCAGCCAGAACTCTGCTGGCCGCGTGACTGCCCTCAGGAGCTCCCTTTCCCTGAGCAAGAATGGGGCTGCTGATATTCCCAAGGGGATTGCTCTGAGCTGTAAGGGGATTTCGAAATTCCAGTGGGAACAGCTGACGGCCAGGTCACCACTGGATTGTGATTTTTGTCTGTTTTCCAGCCTTCTTGGCTTGGCCATGAATTTTGTTCTTAAACCATTTGTGTTTTCATGGGGTTTTGGGGCAGGAAGGGAATCAGGCCCGAGCGTAGCCTGCTATCTTCACACGTGTGAGTTCGCCACCCCCGCCTCTGGCTTCTCGGGTGGGCCATCTGAGCTGCAGATGCTGGAGAGAATCTGCTCTGGCCACCCTCCTCCCCGGCTTTGGAATCTGCGCCTGGACCGCCAGCTCCAAGCTCAGCACCACGGAGGGAAGGAAGGAGGCTCTGAGCTGGAAGGTGGACGCAATGAGAATACGTTGTCCAGAGCATCTCAGGGGAGGCTCCAATCAATGAAGCTGAGCCTTGGCGGGCCTTCCCCTGTTCTCAGAAGGATGTGATCTTTGTTAGCTACGGATCACCGGCTTCATCTTTGCCGTTCTGTGTTCTTTAATTTTTAGTGCCAGCTATGACTTGTTTGTGCTAAGTGTGCGATAGACACCATCGAGTCTTTCTTATGTTTTCTTCTTAATCTAGGATATTCTCCTAGATGTGTGTACATGAACTCGGAAATTATGATTTTGAAAATTTAATAGTTTTCAGTCCCTGCTTTCTCCCCATAGTAACTCTGGTGTGGATCATGTCTGATTCTCTCACCACTGCTTCCCTGGTACATCTAGGACCGTTAAATGAATAAGCAAATGCCTGTGATCGGAGTTTCATCTCTCTTTTTTTTTTTTAAAGTAAAAAAATGGGGCTTGAACTTACTGCCCTGAGGCCAAGGGTCACCCGCTCCACTGACTGAGCCAGCCAGGCACCCTTAATCCGCAGTTTTATAGGAATGAACGCTGAGGCTCAGAGAGGTTAAGTAACTTGTCCAGGGTCACACCGCTAGGCAACTGCAGAGTGAGGATTCAGGTTCTCATCTGTATGACTGTCCAGTTCACTCTTGCCCTTCTCTCCTGTGCACTCAGCTGTATATAGGAGTTCCTGTGCATGTGTCACAGGAATGAATGAAATCTTCTTAACCTATGCCAGGACATAGAATCCTGGCTGTTGGAAGTGGTCTGGCCTTGGAAGTGTTCCATCTAAAGAGTCTTGCCCTGCCCAGTCTCCTGATGAGGGATACAGGGGCCTTAGAGGCTGGCCGCAATTGACCCAAGTGACCCAGGTTGCTGGGTGGGATGGGGGTGGCTGATGGCTGGCAGCTGCCTACCCCGTCCTGTGTCCGCAGCTTCGTGGGCCACTTCAAGTCTCGACGGGAGCGGGAAGCGGAGCTGGGGGCTCGGGCCATGGAATTCACCAACATTTATGTGAAGAACCTCCATGTGGATGTGGATGAGCAGGGCCTGCAGGACCTCTTCTCCCGGTTTGGTGGGCGTATTCCCCAAGGGAAGTGGGGATCACTTTGTCTTCTCTCCCCAGGTTGGGCTGGGAGGAGGGGCCTTTCTGGGCTTCCTGAGGAGTTGGGGGAAGCACTGAGGAGTCTAAAGCCACACTGGGGGGGAAGGGAAGGGCACATCTTGGGGCCTCCCAAACTCCCCTTTGAGCCAGGTTGGCCCTTCCAGGAAAGATGCTGAGTGTGAAGGTGATGAGGGATGACAGCGGCCACTCCCGGGGCTTCGGCTTTGTCAACTTTCAGAAGCATGAGGAAGCCCAGAAGGTAGGAGTCTCCCCACGGCTCTGTTTCACGGAGGAGGTACCATGCCAGCACTAGGAAGAAAGGAGATCAGGAACAGAGGGCTCCAGCTGCCATAGAAAAGAAGAATGTCACTCCCCAGCCTGGGCCCACACCGTTCAGGGCCCTTCCCACCTGTGGCAAAGGCAGAAAGTTTTAGCCTCCTTTGGTTGCTTCCAAGTCCAAGACTGACTGCTTTTCATAGATTCTTGCCACACATGGGAGGTAGAAGGGCCTCTGAGATAGCCACTGCCCTCTTCTTGAATTGATGGGGATTGAGGCTGGGGAGGGGAAGTGCTAGGTTGTTATTTGCTCTCAGGTCTTTGCAGATGCTTTTTCTCAAAACCTTTCCCTTCTCTTGATCTTTAGCACTGCCCAATAGAAATATAATGGGAGCCACATGTGAAATTTAACATAGTCACATTAAAAAGGGTAAAAAAAAACCCTATTTTAATAATATTTCATTCAACTTAACATACTGAAATGATCCCTCTAATGTGTACTCAATATAAAAATTGAGATATTTTACATTCCCCTCTTTCGGTATTAATTCTTTGAAATCTGGTGCTCCTAGCACATGTCAACTCAGACTAGCCATATTCCAAGTGCTCAATAGCTACATGTGGCTAGTGATCACCATGTTGGACTGTGTGGCTTTAGACTACTTATTGCTTACCCTGTGGGTTTCTGCTTATACTTTCCCTCCTCCGAAAAGCCTCTCCTGTCCTCATGCTTCTGGTGAGGTGCCCCCCTCTGCCTCTTTCCATCAGTAACACAGATCTCCATGTATAGGACTGAGGGTAGAGACTGGATCTCGTTTCACTGCTAAGTCTCTAGTGTTGCACCTGCCAGTAGGTACCAGATACTTATTGGCTGAACAAGTGAATGGAACAAGGTCTCATGGTGACAGAGCTCGAGTAATGTTTTCCCATTTGGCTTCCCACCCTAAAGCTCTTTTCCAAGCTGCTGCCCCCTTAAGACCATTGGACATGGGGGATTTCAGCTCACTGTGGATTCTGGCTAGAAATCTGACCCAGTGCCTTCTTGATAGCAGCCACTTCTCACAGAGCGCTTACCCTGAGCCAAGCACTGTGCTAATCACTGCATACACTCTCCTCTCTGCTCCCCCAGGGTGGACTCAACAGTTATTACCAGGTGTCACAAGGTTATAGCTGGTAAGAGGCAACACTGGGATAGAACCAGCTCTTTCTGACTATGAAGTTTTGCTCTTAAGTGAATGGCCCCTTTGAAAAGGTGACCTGTATGTATCATTGGACAAATCCCACCCTCTCGCTAGGCTTTGGTTTTCTCAACTGTGAAATGATGAGTTGGAGTAGGTGGGTGAAGCTTCAGAGGTCCATAGACTCCAAGGTCTTACTTACATTACTTTGGTAATGACTTGTTTACTTTCTGGAGTGTAAATTTGTTTTACAGTGTTGTATTAGTTTCAAGTGTACAATATAGTCATTCAACAATTCCAACACACCCTGATGTTTATAACCACATAACTTACAATAGCCAAATTGTGGAATCAGCCCAAAATGTCCATCAAGTGACAAATATATAAAGAAGATGTGGGGTGTGTGTGTCTGTGTGTGTGTGCATGCATATGTGTGTGTGTATATATATATATACTTATACACATTGGAATATTATAAAAAAGAATGAACTCTTGTTAAATAGGTGATGGGGATTGAGGAGTGCACTTGATGAGCACCTGCTGTTGTATGGAAGTGTTGAATCACTATATTGTACACCGGAAACTAATATTACACTGTGTTAGCCTATTTCACCTACCCCACCCCTCCCCTCTGCTAACCATCAGTTCTCTACAATGAAAAGTCTGTTTCTTGGTTTGCCTCCCTCTTTTTTTCCCCCCTCTCTCATTTGTTTTCTTAAACTCCACCTACATTATGGAATTAAATCATGTGATCTTTATCTTTCTGTAACTATTTTGCTTAGCATTATATTTTCTAGCTCCATCCATGTCCTTGAAATGGCAAGCTTTCATTCTTTTTTGTGGCTGAATAATCAAAACTGTAGTCATCAAAACAGTATGGTACTAGCACAAAAACAGACACATAGACCAATGGAACAGAATAGAAAACGCAGGCAGTGATCTTTTAAGACTGTTGTAGAAAAAGCAGTTCTTGGGGCCTGAGAGTTTATTTACATGGATTTGCATATTTAGGTAGGGAAGCACCATTATATGAAAATACTTAAACCAACTAGTTGACTGCATAAAAAGTCAGTTCCCCCTTAGTTTTAAGCCCCATGTTTGGACATAGAGCTTACTTTAAAAAGTCCCCTTTCAAACATTTCTCCTCATCAATGCTAGTGTCTACTCCTGACTATTGAGCTGATACACAAGAGTCTACCTTTTGCCGATTTTTTTTTTTTCAGGTAAGTCCATCTAAATTCAGTTCACGTGCATTAAGAGAAGTTGCACGTCTTGTAGAAGATGTAGGGCTTTGTGCATTCACAGCCACTGATAATTTAGAATGTGGCAGTCTTAGGGCAGCTAACTGAAGAAATGAAAAAGTATAAAGGGTTAAGGCATGTTTCTTAAAAACGAAAGCCCTTATAGTTAGCAAAACAGAATCTTTCTGCTGTGAAATCCAACATGAAGTGAAAGCTGTTAATTATGCACTTGTGCCATTTTGAAAGAATTCTGCTTGCTGCTTCATTTAGATAATCAGGGAGTTAAGAACCTAAATGTGAAATATGGGAAACTTTGCTTATTTCAATTTTTTTAAATAGAGCTTCCATCAAATTTATTTTTTTAAGATTTTTATTTATTTATTCATGAGACAGAGAGACAGAGACCCAGGCAGAGGGAAAGCAGGCTCCCTGTAAGGAGCCTGATGTGGGACTCGATTCCAGGACCCGGGGATCATGACCTGAGTCAAAGGTGGCCGCTCAATCACTGAGCCACGCAGGTGCCCCCAGATTTTTTAAATCTATGGCTTACTCTGAGATTTTGTGGGCTTCATCCTGGTACTAATTCTTCTCAGCGAACAAGGCTGGCCTAGGTTACAGTTGGTCCCCTTGAGGCCCGGACGCTGGGACTGGGGGGCCAGGGTCACCTGTGGGGGGGGTGGTTACCGAGGACTCTGGCCCCTTCCCTGCCCAGGCTGTGATGGACATGAATGGGAAGGAGGTGAGCGGGCGGCTGCTGTACGTGGGCCGGGCCCAGAAGCGGGTAGAACGGCAGAGTGAGCTGAAGCGCAGGTTTGAGCAGCTGAAGCAGGATCGGCTGACCCGTTACCAGGTGACAGATCTCCGGTGACAGCTGCTGCTGTGTGAGAGTGTCTGGAGGGGAGGGGACTGGATGTGAAGCCTCCCTCCAGCAATCCCACTTCTGGGAACTTGGCTTTAGAGGTTGTGGGGGCTGCAGCTTCCAGGTGATGGGTATGCTGAGTGATGGGGGCATGGGTGCCATGCAAGACTGGAAACAGCAGGCTTGGTAGCCAGGGCTTCCAGGCCCCTGATGGCCCCCGACACAAGGCAGCCTGGGGCTTGGAATAGGGGGGGACACACCCAGCAATAACCTTTCTTTCTAGGGTGTGAATCTGTATGTTAAGAACCTGGATGACTCCATTGATGACGAAAAGCTGAGAAAAGAGTTTTCTCCCTACGGAGTGATCACCAGTGCTAAGGTAAGGGCTGGGGGCACCTACGGGGCTAGAGAGACTGCCCCTCCTGTCCTTCTGCTGCCTGCACACCCCTCCCTCCCTCGTGGTTTCCAGGGAGTTGGAGCTGAGCTACTCCTTTTAGAATTTGGAAGGCTATGTCTAACCCCACCCCACCCTCACTGGAGCTTGGTGTCCATCTGCAGCCTTGTCTGCTCTGGAGGGGCAGAGTGTGGAAGTCCAGGCCTAGCCACACAGCTCGACTCATCGGGGGTCACTGTAACCTTGGTTCATTCAACAAGCATTTATTGAGTGCCTACTGTATGCCAGATTCTAGAAATTCATGTCTCAGAATGCCCACTAACTTTTGGTGTCTTCTGGACCTCAGTTTCCCCATTTGGAAAATGAGAGGGTTGGGTTCTTCCCCTTTTACTTAGCACGTACCATGTGCCCAGCCCACTTAGACCTGAAATGTGATGATGGCAGTTCTACTCAGTAGCTCTGTGACCTTTCACCGATGTCTTCTGAACTGCCTATGTCTCTACCTCTCTCTGTGTCTCTCATTAATAAATAAATAAAATGCTTAAAAAATCCCCTGGAAGCTCTTAAAGATAGACACCTGGGTCAGAAAATCGAATGACGATCTCAGAGTAGGGCCTGGGCATTTTATTTTAAAAGCTCCTCAGGTGATTTTCAGATCACCCTGTGTTCACTCATGCCATGCTTAAGTACCTTCTGCCCTACCAGGCCCTCTGGGAAGCATAGAACAACCAGTTAGATCTGGTTCTTGCCTTTGAGTAGCTTATAGTCAAGTGGAGAAGTCTGATGCATCACCAACTCCAGTTTATTGTTAGGTGTTTGTGTAGTGTAGTGGGAGTATTGGAGGCAGAGCTGCGGTAGCTCAGGAGAACAGGAAGGAGGGCTTCCTGTAAGAAGTGGCAATGGCAGAAGCATTTGGCTTAGCTGTGAGCAGGTAGGAAGCTGCAGGTGGGAATGAGGAAGTTTTCAAAGACATCAGTGTGAGTGGTAGGGCTGGAGACTAGCACATGTGATGTGATGGTTGCTCTTGGGAAGTGGTCTAGAAGTTCTTTTGCCTATTAATCCAATTTTATGTTTTTTATTTTTAAAATTTTTAAAAGATTTTATTTGGCAGGGAGATCACAAGCAGTGGGAGAGACAGGCAGAGAGAAGGGCAGGCAGAGGGAGAAGTAGGCTTCCCACAGGGTAGGGAGCCCAATGACTCGGAGCTTGATCTCAGGACTCTGGGATCATGACCTGAGCTGAAGGCAGACGCTTAACCAACTGAGCCACCCAGGTACCCTTGAATCCAGTTTTTTTTTTTTAACTTATTTATTCACAAGAGACACACAGAGAGGCAGAGACATAGGCAGAGGGAGGAGAAGCAGGCTTCATGCAGGGAGCCTGATGTGGGACTTGATTCTGGGACCCTAGGATCACATCCTGAGCTGAAGGCAGATGTTCAACCACTGAGCCACCCAGGTGTCCCTTGAATCCACTTTGTTTTTTTTTTTTTTTTTTGCTTTTTTTTTTTTTTAAGATTTATTTATTCATGAGAGGCACATACAGAGAGGCAGAGACACAGGCAGAGGGAGGAGCTCCCCATGCAGGGAGCCCAATGTGGGACTCAATCTCGGGACCCCAGGATCATGCCCTGAGCTAAAGGCAGACACATAACCGCTGAGCCAGCCAGGCATCCCTGAATCCAGTTTTAAATGTCCTTCAAGAAGCCTTGTGTTTAGGGAAAAGGCTCTAACAATTTTTGAATTAAGGACCTTTGAAAAAATTGTGATGGAGCTATAGGACATGTAAATAAACCACAGTAAATTTGCTTAAGCATCATAAAAAAGCTGTGGGCCCTCTTTCCCAGCAAATCTATATTTTATGTAGTATTGTGGTTGAAAACTGGGATGTTGAAATTAGTTAGAACTAGGTCCCAGTCCTACATTAACTTGCTATAGAATCTGAGGGAAGTGACTTTGCCTTTTGGATTCTCTTTATCCATCTGTAAAATGGGAGCAACATTCCCTACCGTAGAGGTATCCTGAGCACCAAAGAGCCTGCATGTATAGCACCTGCCCACAATAAGTTGTGAAATAGTGATCTTGTTACTTACACATTGTGTCTGGTTTCTGGCGATTCGCCAACCTCCTTGAGGACCCCTTGAGTGAAGGGAATTGTAAAAAGCTGGGTCACTCAGAGTTGTGTTACTGTCTTGTTAATTGATCAATTAGGTTATAAAATAAGGATTTTATGTAAGCTTACATATCTATATGATTTTGCTTGTATATAAAATACAGTGATTATGAAAGCAAGTTAAGGCATAGAAAATGCTAATAATGCTGTCACATTCATAGTAAGCTGCATAAATGTATTTTATCATTATTTACTACCTAACAGAAGTTCCCATTAACTTGTTCAGACAATACTTTTGTGCCAAGAAAATTGGGCTGATGAAAGCCTATAGATTCCTTCCGAGAATATTTTTCAACTCATAAAAGAAAATTCAGAGGATTACAGAAAAACAACTATGTGGAAACATAATTCTCAAAATATTTAGGTGACAGCAGTAGGTGCTTCATTATTATATCCAGCTATACGATCTAGGGACGTAGCAATTAGCATAAATGATATTTTGAGGGCAGCAGTAATTAACGTGATAGGAAAATATTTTCTTCTGACAAAATCGCAAGCACAGGCAAGACTCCCCTATTTTTGTCGTGTTTTCACATCAGCAGTCCCTTCTATTGTGACTACAAAGAGGCCATTGTTTTTTCCCATCTGAATTCACAGACCCCCTGACTTCTATTCATTGGCCTCCTTGAGGGGATCTGTGAACTCTTAGGCCCCCCCTTGTGAATGGGTAGCAAAGTGCAGTTTGAAAATCAGTGATGTAGAACATGAGTTTTTTTTTTTTTTTTTTTTTTTTTTTTTTAGATTTTATTTGACAGAATGAGAGAACATGGGTAGGTGGAGCAGCAGGCAGAAGGAGGAGAAGCAGGCTCCCCACTGAGCAGGGAGCCCAACGCAGGACTTGATCCCAGGACTCTGGGATCATGACCTAAGCTGAAGGAAGATGCTTAACCCACTGAGCCACCCAGACACCCCAGAACATAAGCTCTTATTAGAGCAGATTTAAAAAGTATGTCAGTTCAAATCCAAATGTGTGAGCCAGGCCGGTGTCTTGACCCCAAAAACGATTACGAACCATAAATGCAATGTGGATTGAATCCTGGACGAGAAAAATAATATTAGAAAAATTAGTGAAAGCTGAATGAGACCTGCAGTTCAGTTAATGGTATTGTGGCTAATAATTAATAGTATTGTCCCAATGGAAACGTCGTAGTTTTGACACATACACCTTGTTCACATTGGGATGAGCTGGCTGACTGTCACTCCATATTATTTTTTGCAACTTTTCTATACATCTAAAGTTATTCCAAAATAAAAAAGGTTATTTAGATTACAAAGCTAAGAACCACTTGCCCAGACTCCTAAAGAGCTTGGCTCAGTGCCTTGTAGAGGCAGTGGATGTTTTCCAGAACACTGCATTGGGTTTGAATCCTGGCTGATGTGTGTTCACAGGCTGGGTGACTCTGGACAAGTCACTTTATTTTTTTTTAGTTGTAATAAGGATTTTTATTTCTACCACAGAGAAAATTGATAGACTAAATTGATAGGCACCAAAAATATAAATTAAATCCTTCTTATATTCCACACAAATCTACCTTTTAATTGGACTCTCTAGGAAACAAATCCTTAGGAGCATTTTTTTTCTCTAATTCTCAAATGAGCCAAAGAATCGTATGGGTAGTTTAAAAAAGAGAGTAGTCAAAATGCAAATTTTCATTACAGCGACCTCAAATGAAGTGTTTAAGATTATGGTTCTGGCTGAAGAACCCTGCCCTGTTCTTAGATCTTTAACCATCCTGAAACTGTCCCCTTACTTCATCATAGCCTGTGTGATGAAGGCCGATTCTATTTAAAGCAGCTTTCTATCACAGCTTAGGAAAATCATTTAAGAAAGAAAATGTACAGATAAAAATCCTGAAATGCAGCTGTTCCCACGGACTCTGGGGAATGTCTTGTTGAACAGGGAGCAGCCCCCACTTAGCTAGTAGCCTGGTCTCAGCCAAGTCACTCTTGGCTGAGCCCCATTTCTGATGCCTGTGAAGTGGGAATGGGGTGTGCCCCCCGCCCCAGTTCAGATGGTGGTACCTATGAAGTGAGAAGGCATATCTGGCATGCAGTGGGCCTCAGTCAATGTTGGGTGTGGGTGGTTTCTCCTGGACCTGCTCAGTGCCAGGCTGGGCCCCCAGAAGGGGGGCAGGAGGGAGAGATGGGGAGCACAGTGCCCAGGAGTCTTCCTTCCCTACCCCCAGCAGCCCTTGTCTTGTCTTGCTTTTAGGTGATGACAGAGGGTGGCCACAGCAAGGGGTTTGGCTTTGTGTGTTTTTCCTCTCCAGAAGAGGCGACAAAGGCCGTGACAGAGATGAATGGGCGCATTTTGGGCACCAAGCCTCTGTACGTGGCACTGGCCCAGCGCAAAGAGGAGCGGAAGGCCATCTTGACCAACCAGTACATGCAGCGCCTCTCTACTGTGCGGGCCCTGGGCGGCCCCCTCTTGGGCTCCTTCCACCAGCCCACCAGCTACTTCTTGCCCTCTGTGCCCCAGGTGATGACCTGCCTGCACCCTCCCACACTCCTTCCCTGACAGCCAAGCAGAGCGGGAGGACAGCTTCACGGGGAGATGTGGGTTCTTGGCGTGTTTCTGCTGGAAACCTAACAGGCAGGCCGCCTTTTAAAAATTTTTTTTGTTTTTATTTTTTAAGATTTTACTTAGTCATGAGAGACACAGAGAAAGAGGCAGAGACACAGGCAGAGGGAGAAGCAGGCTCCCCATGGGGAGCCTGATGCAGGACTTGATCCCAGGACCCTGGGATCACAACCTGAGCCGAAGGTAGATGCTCAACCACTGAGCCACCCAGGTGCCCCAACAGGCAGGCCATTTTAACCCCAGCTGTAAAAGGAGGGGTAAGAGTGCGGCTGTCAGCCCTTCCCCACCAGGGAGATATTTGTGTTATGCTAAAAAAAAAAAAAAAAAAAAAAAAAACAACTCTCTGGTCAAATGAATTTGAAGAAATAATGCATTAAATGAAAGGAGCCTAGCTTTTTTTTTTTTTAAGATTTTATTTATTTAGTCATGAGAGAGAGAGAGAGAGAGAGAGAGAGAGAGAGAGAGGCAGAGACACAGGCAGAGGGAGAAGCAGGCTCCATGCAGGGAGCCCGACGTGGGACTCGATCCCGGGTCTCTAGGATCAGGCCCTGGGCTGAAGGCGGCACTAAACCGCTGAGCCCCCCGGGCTGCCCGAGCCTGGCTTTCGATGCTGTCGTGCACCTCCTGCACACACCGTTCCGGCCTAGCATGTGGGATGCATGACGACTTCCCCAAACCAGCAGAGAGCGAGTGGCATTTCCGCAGCTTGCAGGGCCCTGGCTTGTGGGCTGCCCGCCAGCCTCTGCCGGGGGTCATGTTCTGAGGAGCACAGCTTGGGAAGGGAGCTCCCAGGACTTGGAGGAAGTAGAAAGGTGTCGGCCCTGGTCCGCTCCTGGGATGGATGCACCTGCTCCCTTTAGCAGGAGCTTTGGCTGGCACAGGTCCGAGCAGGCGTGTGCCCATTTGATGCCACTCTCGGGCTGCCGGCTCCGCTGAGGGGCAAGGATTGAACCTGAGACCCTGGAGGGTTCAGGGCTGACAGACAGACAGCCTGAGCTGGGCCTATATGAAGCTGGGGCTTCATCCCAGCTCGTGGGGCCTCACACTGGTCCCTAGAGGGGGCAGTGGAGTTCCGGCAGGGGAGTCCGGGAGGGGGTGGCTTTCTCACCTGCTGCGGACCCCAGCAGCTGGCCTTCTCCCTCACAGCCTCCGGCCCAGGCTGCGTACTATGCCTCCGGCCTCCCCATGCAGCCCACCCCCAGGTGGACGGCCCCGCCTCCGAGACCCTCCTGTGAGTGCCTCCCCCCCAATCCTCAGCCTGGCAGGTAGCAGGTGGGCGGGCCCCTGGGGCAGTGTGCAGCCTGGGGCTGCGAACACAGGCTTTGGGGGCGAGCCTGGCTCTGCTGCTTCCCAGGTCTTAACGCGGGGGGGGGGGGGGTCACTTCACCTCCAGTTTCCTCTTTTGAATGAGGCGTATAGAAAGCACCAAGCAGTGCCAAACTGGCAAAAGGCTCGCACGGGTTGCCGTTCTCCAGGTTAGCTCCCAAGGCTTGTCTGCTCTGTGACCCTCAGGAGGCACCCCTGTGGCCTGCTTGCTGATGGACGCCCCCTCCAGGAGCAGAGCTCGCCCTGACTTGAAGTGTCCCGGGGGCCTAGGGGTGTGATCTTGGCACCTGTGCCTCCTGGGGCTCTGGGTGGAAACAAGTTGGCTTTGTAACTGTAGATTTCCACACGTTCCCCTTCCCTGGAGTCTGGGTCTGCCTGACTAGGTGAACACACTCATCTTTTTGCTGAGAACATTCGAGTTCCCCCTCGCCATTCCCTGTCTCCCCCTGGAACCTTCAGGGTGCAGTGTGCCACTCGGATCGCCCTGCCCCTGCTCCGCCAACCTTTCTCTCCATGTTCTCTGTGCCACAAGCCACCTACCCTCCAGCTGCCTCAGTGGTCCGGCCACCAGCCATGTCGCGGCGCCCCCCGGCCCAGGTCAGCAGTGTCAGGCAGGCCTCTACCCAGGTGCCACCCCCGGTGCCCCACACCCAAAGAGTGGGTGAGTGTGGGCAGGGCCAAGAGGAATGGGTGTGTGAGGAGGGTGGGGCAGGGGCTTGGTGCTGGGTTGGCACAGGTGGGGGCGGGGGGAGGGTCAGGACTGGCCTCCACCGTGACCTTGTCCTTTGCCCTCTTGGAGAGCAGAGCTGACTTTGGAGGCTGCATGGCATAGCAGTTAGTGTGCGGACCCTAGAGTCCCACCGACCCAGTTCCTGTGGCCAGCTCGCTCTGTGGCCTTGCTAACTACTGGATCTGATCACCTCTTCTTTTTTTAAAAAAATTTTTAAAAATTTATTTTTATTTTTATTTATTGGAGTTCAATTGGCCAACATATAGCATAACACTCAGTGCTCATCCCAAGTGCCCCCCTCAGTACCCATCACCCAGTCACCCCAACCCCCTGCCCACTTCCCCTTCTACTACCCCTTGTTCATTTCCCAGAGTTAGGAGTCTCTCATGTTTTGTCACCCTCACTGATATTTTCATTCATTTTCTCTCCTTTCCCTTTATTCCCTTTCACTAATTTTTATATTCCCCAAATGAATGAGAACATATAATGTTTGTTCTTCTCCAATTGACTTACTTCACTCAGCACAATACCCTCCAGTTCCATCCATGTTGAAGCAAATGGTGGGTATTTGTCATTTCTAATGGCTGAGTAACATCCCATTGTCTACATAGACCACACCTTCTTTATCCATTCATCTTTCGATGGACACCGAGGCTCCTTCCACAGTTTGGCTATGTATGAGATCGCACATGCCAGGGCTTAGCCTCAGCTTAGAACCTTAGCGAGCACTGTAGCAGCCGTGAACAAGGTGGTAGATTTGGGCCATAAGGCACACACCTCTTCATTCGGCAGATGTTTGTACATCTGTGTGCCAGCCTCACAGCTGGCGGTGGGATTCCATGTGAACGCTCATCTTTAGGCTTTGTGGCTTTAGATCGCTGTCAGGCCCCAACTCCCCTGCTTATCTTTTACAGCCAACATTGGTACCCAGACCACAGGAGCCAGCGGGGTGGGATATTCTACACCAGGTGGGCCTCTCCTGACACACAGATATCCCTCAGCGACACACAACCATGGGGTAAGGCCGGCCTGACTGCCCTCTAGTCTGGGCTCCAGGGGGCTTGGCTCAGAATTGTGCCTACGGCATTGGCCCTCTCTGGGACCTTGTTTTTTATTTTCTTGATCTGTGAAGTTTCACTTACTGACGTGTACAATCAAGAAACAATCACCCTTACTAACAGAAGGAGGCTAAGGGCCAAGATCACATTTGGTTTATTAATTATTGATTTGCTCTGCCTGGGTTATTACCAAAATTAATCTGGATTTTTTTTTCTTTTTTTCTTTTTTTTTTTTTTTAGTATTCAGCAGTGAGCAGCAAGGAAAAATATTCTAGAAATATGCTAAACATTGAAGGGATAAGATTAATCTATAAAATTGAAAATATCTTCTGTAATTAAGTTAAAAAGCTATGTATTTATCTCCCCTCCCCCTGCCCAAGTCTCAAACTTGGCGTCTAGAATTTCAGTGTGTATACTTCAAACTCTTCTTTGCAGAAAGGAACAGGAGAAGTCTTTAAGCAGCCAAATGCTTTTAAAGTTACCATAATGTGGAAAGGTCAGAGGTATGCTGGGGATGTGGCCATAAAGCTACATGATAAAAGTGCAGTACTTGGCACAAAGTGAAGAGTAACGTGTGACTTTCATTTGGCAACGTTCAGGCAGGGGCCTTTTTATAGGTTCCTGGCACCACAGAAGGCATCTGAATTAGAGCGTGTCTGGCCCACTGTACCCCCGCTAGGGATGTGATCCCACCCGATTGTCCATACTTTGCCCCCTGCCCCCCCTCTTCCAGAGCCTTCTGGGGGGCCTATGCTCACCTGACAGGGTGTTTTGGGGCCCTGCCTGTCTGTGGTGGCTAAGGGATGTGTCCCCGGCCCCATGTGCAGGTCCAGGAGCCTGCCGTGTGCATCCTGGGACAGGAGCCCCTGACCGCATCCATGCTGGCTGCTGCACCGCTGCACGAGCAAAAGCAGATGATTGGTGAGTGGCTGGTCCCCCTACTTTGGAGCCAGAAGTGGGGTGCTGAGAGTTGGCCAGCCCGGTGGGTAAAAGTCTGGGTGGAGATCAGCCCGGCGGACAAGGTCCAGCTTTGCCGCTGAACAACCTGGTGGGTGACCTTGCTCGGGTCACCTCTGCTCTCTCGGCCTCACTCCCTCTCTTGTGTTAAGACACTGGTCAGGACAGCAGAGCTGTTCAGAGCCCCTGACAGGCTCGAGAGATCTCAGCTGTGGGGAGACCTGGGGCTGGGAGTAAGGGGATGTGGTCTTGGGTTCTGCCGCGGGGTGTTGCAGATCCTCACCTCTCCTGAACAGGAAGAGGCTGTCACCCCATGGGGTCCACCTCCCAGCGCCCACTGCAGGGAGGAGGCAAGAAATAAATGTGCCGTGGGCAAATACACACTCCCCGCTGGGCTGCGAGTTTCCTGTCATTCACCCCGAGCCCAGTGTCTATGGCAGGCCCTGCCAAAGGATGCCACTAACTGTCCAGTGAATGAACAGGTTTGCTCCTGGTTGGCAGGTTCCTTCCTTCGTGGCCGCCAAGATTTCCAGAACCTCTCTGAAGGCCCCTCATTGCCACCACCCTGTTTCCTCAGCTCATTTGGGGTCTCGCCACTTCCCAGGAAATTCTGCATGGGCTTAATGGAGGCAGAAGGCTCTGTTAGCAGTTCCCTGTAAACCTCTTCACTTTCTTTGGGAAAACCCCTCCCACTCAAGCCACCCCAGCCCCCCAGCCTGGCTAGACCCTCCTTACATTGCCGAAGTGGGCTGACCACCCATGCTAGACCCTGTCACTAGAAGTGCCTGATGGGGGTAGGTGAATTGGTCTTACATATGTGGCTCCCCTGCCTCCGGCCCCAAAAAAGTCTAGTTCAGCATTAGCCTGTCTTGGTTAGAATCTCAGTGTGTATGGTGGAACTATTTCTTGCAAAATGAACAAGAGTCGTCTTTAAACACCGAGTTTGTGTCAGACTCTGTATACGTTACTTCATGTAGAACATCAAATTTGATTCTTCAAATTAGCTCCGAAGCAGGGTTTGCTCTGCGTACTTAACAGGAAAGAGGCTTTCAGTGAGGCTAAGGGACACAGCCTAGAAGGAGCAGTTCTGGGACGACCCCCCAGATGCCTCAGCCCTCCTTTCCACGGTAACCCCCACCCCCACCCCGGGCTGCTGGGATATCGGCCAGGTGTTCCGTACAGGTGAGCGTCTGTACCCCCTGATCTACAACACCCACACCCAGCTGGCCGGCAAGATCACAGGCATGCTGCTAGAGATCGACAATTCGGAGCTTCTGCTCATGCTGGAGTCCCCAGAGTCCCTCAATGCCAAGGTGGGCTGGGGCCTGGGTGGCAGGGCGCCCTGTGAGGCCAGGAGGGCTCGTCATCAGGACCTCTCCTAGATGAGCCAGTGCACTGTGGCTTGGACGTTTACCTTTTGGCAAATGCTGGCTAGTACTTGCTGGGTCTTTGAGTGGGAGAAGGCCTTGGCGTTGGCTGTTTCAGCCCTTCCAGATTCCCTCTCTGCAGCTCCATGCACGAGAGTTGGATTCAAGGAGCTGTGTCCTGAGTATCGGGTTGAGATGCTCCCAGCTGTCCAGCAGCGTACATCGGTCTTGAGAAGGTGGCTGTGGGGTTTCTGTCAAGGGCGCTAGCAAGCAGCAACGCTATGGACAGAGGGGACTTCTAGCACCTAGCAGGCTTAGGCAGCGGGAGGCTAGGGCTCTGCTGGGACCCTGCTGGGCAGCTGCCCTAACCCGCCTCCAACACTCGCGTCCCACAGGTGGAGGAGGCTTTGGCAGTGCTGCAGGCACACCAGGCCACAGAGCTGGCGAAAGTGAATGTGCTCTGAAACCAGGTGGGTGGCTGGGGTCGGCCGGACGGAGACAGAAGCAGTGGAGCCCAAGAGGAGCTGGAAAGAGCCAGTTAGGGGCTGATAGTCAGAAACCCGTTGAGAACCACAGAATCGTGTGTCGCTGGCTTTCTCTGAGGCACCAAGGAGTCTGGGGGAAGCTGTAAGGATCAAGGGCAGGACAGACTGTGTGATTAGAATGAATGTTGACCACCGTGCCAAGCGCAGGTGTTCTCTTGCCGGCGGCCCTGCCTGGCCCCCCTGGGAATAGGCTGGGCTGTCCCTGGGCACTGCCTGGCTTAGCCCACTCTACCTTCTTAGCTGAAGGCCGGTATCTGCTAGATGGTAGAAACATTTACGCCTATCCTTTCGTCTCCAGAAAACGGAATCCACCCTTCCTTGGCTGACAAGAGAATGGCGTTTCCTGCCAAGCTTGGCTCTCCGTCCCTGTGAACCATAACTTATTTTCCAATTGGGCTCTATCTGGACTTGAGCTCTGTATGTGGAAGGAAGGCTGGTCACCCCGCCAGCCTATTACCTTTTCCTTTGTGCATTAAAAGTGCTGCAAACTCTGTCTTGTCTCCCAGGAGGCCTTCTTGTGTCTGAGGGAGGTGGGGCAGAGCAAAGGGTGGGCTTGACTTGGTGGAGGGTATGGCTGGAAGGAAGAGTGAAGTCTATAGAAGGGGTGTACACCAGAGTGGGACGGCCAGGATGGGAGCAGGGCCGCTTATAACTGCCCCACAGGAGCAGACCCCACCCACCCAGCAGTGGTGCAGAGCGTCACTCACTGGCGGTCATCACCCAGCACCCAGAGAAGGAACTAAAGCCTATAGGTGCCCACATCTGAGGCGCATGGAGGTTTCTGGACACCTGGCTTGAGTACCAGCGGTGCAGGTATACACCTCAGAACAGCAACTACTTCTAGGCTCTGGGATGGCTGATTGAGGGATTGTGTGATATAATTATAAAGGAACCCACATAGAACAACTTTAGGATACCTTCCCAGGTCATGATTTTACCTTCTATGTTTCATTAGTAAATCAAGATGCTTGCCTTCTAGACCTTGAAAAGAGTCATTTAATCGTGAATGGACGTCACCACTGAACTTAAATCAGGTAAGTCATGTCTAAGGGGGGGACGACGATAAAAGGGGTACAGCTCCCCACTTTGGTCCCTAGGCCATACACATGGGTCTGCCTGTGAACCCTAAAATCTGCTTAGCTCGGAGGTCGGTGGTTGCTCACAGTGCAGAGATGCATCCCTCCGAGGTCAGAAGCAGTGTGCTAACAGCTGAATAGTGCTCAGTACTCAGTGACGGGGAGCAAAGGGACAATGAAATCCCTCTGCTCGGAGAGTCCTCAAATTGCTTGCTGCTCCATTAAGGGGAGAACAGTTTAACTGGGACACAGCCCAGGAAAGAGTGGAAGCCCTTAATTCTGGTCAAATCCTAAAATGCTGTCCACCCTCCTTGCCATGTCTTATGAACTTGAGCAGCACTTTCTGGTCCAGGTCCTCGTCCCCTCGTCCTAGCTTTACAAACAGCTGTTGTGGCTGCTTGGATTGCCTTCCGCCTTCTTCACCAGTCTAACTCCCACATTGGAATTCCATGCAAGCCAATGTCCTCAGGGACCCCTTCTCCTCCAAGCGTCCCACCCCACACGGGGCAGGGAAAGCACTCTGATGATGCTTAAGCAGGCTGCATCTTGTTCCTGGGACTATCCGATCACCTTCTCCACTGCCCACCAGAGCCTCAGCCCTCTGAGAGCAGGGATCGTGTCTGGTTACTGTGATTTCCCCACTAGACAGAGCCTGACCCATGCAGACATTCCAGGAAGTCTGTTCAACGAGTGCATAAATGCTCAATAAGCAGCAGCTTTTTATTACCGCTAAATTCCAAACCCAAAGCTGAAAAAACAAACGTTATATTAAGTACAGCAAACCCTTATGTACCAGAAAGATGTTTAATACAATAGCTTTAAATAACACAGTTCAACAAAGTCAGTTTTGTTCAAATTAACTTCACGTTACAAAGAACCAAGAAGCGTGGAGGGAACCACTGCTGAGGTCAAAAGTAAGTCCCTGCCCAGACTGGAAGGACACGGACGTCAAGGCCTCTCTCCATCCCACCTTCGGGAGCGGCCACACCTCTGGACGCTTAACACCGGTTAGGCACCTCCACGCAGGAGGCAGCAGCATGGAGCCACGGCCAAGGCCGTCCAAGGGTCAGGATTCTGCGTCCCTACCCAAGGAGGGCCCAGCCAAAAGGCACTGGAGCTCAGAACACAGGGAACTCTGCCACGGACAGGGTGGGGATGGTAGCCCTGGAGAACCAGCTCGACAGGCTGCTCTGGGTTCTAGTTTCTCCCTTACCCACCCACCCCCCACTCCACGAGCTCAGTTTGCTCAGATGAAGCATAGGGAGATGAGTCTGGTGAAACTAGAAGAGCAGGAGGAGCAGCATGCTAGGGCTTGCATGCTGGGGGCAGGGACAGAGCAAAGTCTGGGGGGGAGTGGGGAATAGGGCTTCAGCTCTAGTGGGGACATTCCAGCAAAATAAAACGTCTGTTTTTTTTTTTTTTTTAAACTACACTGAGCATAATTTGAACAGGCAAAGCCTCTTAAGGGCTGGGAAGGCATCAGCTTGGAGTTGCTTCAGAGCTCACTCAGGGGCGTGCCGGGTGCCAGGAGCAGGCACAGAGGACAGAGCTTGGGCACAGGTGTATACCGCTGCCCTTCTGGGATTTTAGTTTAAACTCTGGTTAACTTCCTGCCGCAACCTCTGGGCAGGGACGTTCCTGGGCTCAAGTTGCAGGAGACTGCTGAGGTCTTCAAAGCTGGATTTATAGTCCTGAGAGGAGAGAGAGGGTGGTGAAGACGGAGACCCAACTGGGGGGCAGAGGGTCTCAACCCGTGGGCCTGCCCTGAGCGACATGGGCTCCCCAGGAGATGAACATGGTATCCCCCACCTTGCCCTGCCTCCGCTCTGGACGTGCCACTTCAGACATGGACGTCCCCACAGGTGCTGGTCAGTCAGGCTGTTTACCTTCAGTGCCTTGTAGGCTTGTGCTCGTCTGTAGAACGCCTTCACGTTCTTTCCATCCAGCCTGAGGGCCTCTGTGCAATCCTTCACTGCCTCCTTATACTGCTTCAGGACCAGATGGCAGAGTGCTCTGATGGGGGAAGATCATTTGGAGGGTTCAGTCATGGCTTTGAGGCCGCCCACCAGCCATAAGGTGGGGGGTGGGGGGGGGGTGACTGTGGATTCGCTGAGCACCCGATCTGTGCTGGGCCCCCTATAGCTCCCTTACCCCTGCAGCAATGCCGGCCCTGCTCTACAGATGGAAGGCACTGGCTGGCTGGCTGGCTGGCTGGCTGGCTGGCTGGCTGGCTGGCTGGCTGCGTGTGTGTGTGTGTGTGTGTGTGTGTGTGTGTGTGTCAGGGTCGGGGGGAACACCTGGACCAGGGCTGCTGTGGGGCAGAGCCTGGACGGGGGCACAGCCTGCAGGACTCCACACCCTGACCGGTTGGTTCCGTCACTCAGACTACTCCACGTTCCCATCCTGTGCTCTTTTGCTCCTGATAGATTAAAAAGCCCTCTACCTGAAACATCAGAACTGGACCCTGAGGATGGGCATGTGGACGTGCTAGCGGGAAGACGTAAAGATGTCTGCAACTCACTCTGAATGTGCCCAAACCAAGATGGACCAATCAATGGCTACACAGTGATAAAACAAATGTAACACCACATTAACGAATTTAGGTGTATGAGTGTTCAATGTACAATTCAACTTATATTGTGGTAATTTTCATAATCATGGGAAAAAAGTTGCATGCATCCATCCATACAGCGTTCTGCATCTATGGGGAAAAAAGTATGGACATCTTCCTCAGTGTGTTCTCCCCAGACGGCCACTAAAAACAGGTGTCTTGGAGCTCCTTCCGGAACTCCATTCCACCTCACTATTTGCAATGGGAGCCGTATTCACTTAGTTGGATGAACCATAACTTATTTTACCAATTCCCTATCTGGATGTATTTTTCATTCCTCCCAGTTTGTAAATGTAAGAGGCTATGAGCCTCCCTGTACATAGGTGCATTTACAATCTTGACTGTTGTTGCCAAAACGCTCTCCAAAAGAGCTGCTCTCTTAGGCTCTATCCATAACTATTTTCCTGTAACTGTACCAACCCCAGGTGTCAACCTTTAACTTCAGTCAATAATGGAAGAAAAGGTCTGTTTTACTATAGTTGCTTTAAATATGCACAAAGCTCAGTACCTTTACATAAGGCTTTCTAACCTCATGAAATCAAATTTACCTTTAACGACCTCTGTGATCCCTATCCCCTACCCCACAACAATTTTAATAGTTTCCCCACTATGAGATAATTAACCTACATATTCTTCTAGAACTTAATGGTTTTACTTTCTACATTTGAAACTGTGATCTGCTTAGAATTTATTTTAAAAGATGGAGTAAGGTAGAGATTCAGGTTTATTTTTAACTCCTATCTAGTCAACGGAACACCATTCATTGAATAATCCCTCTTTTTTTCTACACTTTATCATATGCTGAATTCTTATGCTGCTATTCACATTTTTTCTTAATAAACTTTGGAACCATCGTAAAGAAAATTCTAGTGGTTTCATTATGATTGAGTGGAATTTATAAATTAAAAAAATTGATACAAGGGGGAGCTTTTTCTAAGTAATCTCTATACCTAGTGTGGGGCCCAAACCCATGACCCTGAGATCAGGAGCTGTATGCTCCACTGGCACAGTCAGCCAGGGTATCCCCCCAACACTGCTATGTACGAACTTAAAAGCAGGCACAAATTCTGGGGAACTCTTCGCACTGAAGGGGTCCTAATTTAGGCAGGTTCTGTGACTAACCAGTAGAGAGGAAAGGATGTGCTGTAAGTTCCAATGCTAGGTTACACAGGCCTTGGGGCTACAGCCTGGGTTCTTGAAGCCTTGAGCTGCCATTTGAGAAGCCACCTACCCTGGAGCCACCATGCTGTGAGGAAGCTCAAGCCAGCATATGAGAAAAGGCTGCCAGGACAGAAAGAAAAAAGGTGCCAGCTGGCCCGAGTGGTGCCGTCTCCTAGCCCTGGGGCCACACATGCCAGTGAAGGCTTCAGAGGACTCCAGCCACACCTACTATTTTGTTGCTCCTGAAAGAGAGATCCTAAGTAAGGTCTGCCCTTTCTGAATTTCTGCTCACAAATCATGAGCAAAATAAAATGACTGTCGTAAGCTACTAAGTTTTAGAATAGTGGTCCTTGATTTAAACTTCAACATAGAATTCTAAGGAAACTGGTTTTCTCCCAGTGGGCTCTGGCAAGTTAGAGAATTAGCTAAGTTTCTGGGAAGTAGAGGAACCATGCATTACATATGATGTGGGGACTGCAGAGTATAAATGTGATAGTATTACGTTAATACTTCTAAAGATTATATTTAAGATGTTAAAAGTGTGTGACTCTAGGCTACACCTTGGCTTTTGGTAAACAATGATTTTTGTATCCAGTTGAAGGGTGTTCATTACAAAGGAGTCTGGGAGATGATATAGGTGAGAAGGAACCCAAGCTTTGGAGTCACAAAGACCTGGCTTAAGTCCCAACTTGATCAAGTATTTGTTACTGAGCTGTGTGCACACTAATTCATTTTTCTGAACCCACTGTCTCAGAATAAAATAATTCCAGAGTAAATGAGACTCTTCTAAGGGTTCCTTCAGGGCAAGCAGTCGGTGCTGGGTACGTAAGTGATAGCCCCACTGAAGTACCAGCTGCACAGGGAGAACTGAAGGAAGGCCTAGACGAAGCCCTGGTGCAAGAGCTGCAGATGTACCAGGTGGAGCACTGAAACAGCATCCGGGATGCAGTATAGCTCCAGCCACAGTGGATGGAAAACTCAGTTTTGTGTCAAGTTATTAGGCCTCTAAATTAAATTTATAAGTTATATGGAACCACAACCAAATGCCCACCAAGTCTGTCAAAATAATCCTAAAGTTAAAAAAAATAATAATCTTAAGGTTTGGCTGGAAGGACAAACCTGGAAAAAAAGCCAGTGATGTTCATATAGCACTAATAATTAAAATGGGGTAGCATAGACACACTTGCATGAAAATCCGTATTTAAAGCACTGTCTTGAATGTGTTAAAAAACCAGGAAAATAGGCTAATAAAGGTCCCTAGCAATCTGAGGTGAACGAGTCCAGTGGGCTCAGAGACAAGGAAGTCAAAATGCTGCTGCAGAAACAGAACAAATGGGCAGCAGCCTTTCCTCCGGTGAGGCCAGCAGACTGAGGCACCCGTGATCCAATCAGCCAGTAAAACCATGTCCCAAATTCTAAAATCCATGCTTTAAAACTAAACATTCTCCTTTTAACTTATTTCACAGCAAAACCTGACCTGCGTAGGCATGAGGCCCCTTTAACACTGCCCCATGTGAACACAGGAGTTCCCTATGTTTCACGGCAGAAAGGTTAACAACGAACTTTAGCAACTGCCCCCGACCCTATGGGAGTATTATGTAGTCCAGTGTATGGATCGTATTACCTTACTCAAATCTGGAACACATTTTATATCAAAAATTTCGGATAGGGAATGGCAAGACTATAGTAGATCCAAGATTTTTGAACTAAAGAGTAATATGTATATGTTAGCAGTATGGGAGGAACAATCTATAACATTTTATAATAAATCTTTTATAAGAAAGACGTGTATCATGGGACGCCTGGGTGGCTCAGCAGTTGAGTGTCTGCCTTTGGCTCAGGGCGTGATCCTAGATTCCTGGGATGGAGTCCCACATCGGGTTCCTTGTATGGAGCCTGCTTCTTCTCCCTCTGCCTATGTTTCTGCCTCTCTCTGTGTGTCTCTCATGAATAAATAAAATCTTAAAAAAAAAATGTGCATCAGATTTGGTCCCTTGCTGAATGTTTGACTGTTTCAAGGTTCTGAGAGGAAAACTAATAGATCTCATTGGAGCCAGGTCTGTCTCCACCATTTACTGGCCAGGCGAGTTGGCGTAAAGCCCTTCTGGCTCGAGCCTCTGATTTCTTTTTTTTTTTTTTTTAAATTTTTTTATTTATTTATGATAGTCACACACCGAGAGAGAGAGAGAGAGAGAGGCAAAGACATAGGCAGAGGGAGAAGCAGGCTCCATGCACCGGGAGCCTGACGTGGGATTCGATCCCGGGTCTCCAGGATCGCGCCCTGGGCCAAAGGCAGGCGCTAAACCGCTGCGCCACCCAGGGATCCCGAGCCTCTGATTTCTTGACTTTAAAAGGGGAAGACCCCCGACCACCAGTACACCTGAGTATGTTGCAAAGCCGTGACTCCTATCCAATAAAGGGATGGTGCCCCCACTATGGGTGGAAAGAACCGGGAGCCATGGACAGCAGCCCATGGTGCGGGGTGCTCACTGGGCTGCAGATCACAGCCTCCAGGCTAGAGGACCCTCTCTCTTACTCCCAGGTCAGGCAAGAGTTCACACCTTGGGTTCTGAAACTGTGCTGAAACCGTGCCCGTCCTTGTAGCAGGAGGGTCCTGGGAAGCTGTGGGGCTGGGGGCAGCGGGAGGGCCATGAGACAGGTAGGTGTTGAGGCTGTGTCTATATAACAAGCATGCTGCTTGTCCTCACTTGGATGGTTCATGAAAATCTGAGTCTCCAGACTGACAGGACTCAGCTTCTGTTCGTTTAAGAGAGCAAATGCCACTGGCCACATCCTCCTCACGGTGACCAAACACCTGTGAACGCCTATTTCGAGCTATGACGTACTGACTGAACCCTAGGAAGGGAAAGCCCGCCCCAGTTCAGAGAAGACTACCAGACAACAGCCACCATCCTGAAACCCCCAGGCCAGCGGCTACGTGCAGATACCTGTTGCTGTATGTGGCAGACTCCATGTCACTAAATGAGAGGCTTTCACTGTACTTCTCAATAGCTTTCTTATGGTTTCCCTTCTTTACAAGCTCATTGCCTTCTTCCTTCAGAGCTCTGGCTCTCTCCACATCCCCAGCAGAAGGCACTAGATGCAAATTCAGAAGAGGAAAAAGCCATGGAGTGGGTGCCTGAGATCCACGATGCCTCGCCAGCATCGGCTCTTCCCAGGCATCTGTGACCCTCCCCGCACCTGCCCGGGCCTCCCTATCCTGCTCTAAAGCAGCCTCCCCGAGGACCGAGTCCCCCGTGCAGCTTCCAATTTTCAGTCAGAGGAGGTTGGGGACTCTTGATGGAAACACACACAGATGTGCACATAAGAACAGATACGTGGAGCAAAGCAGGCCGGGTTCGAGCGCCAGCGCTGCCGCTCAGGAGCTGGGGACCCGGTGTGACCTACCTAAGCCTCTGGGACCTAGGTCTCTCTGTACAATGCAGCACCACGGGGTGGAGGTGGGGGGCACCACCTTCCCCACACTGGCTAGCGTCAGGACAAACCCTGAGAGTACCTCACAAAGTGCAGAGCACCCTATAAACTTACAGCAGGAGAATAAGCAAGGATTTAAGCAAGTCCGCATCTGAGAAAGAAAGAGTGTAGCTCCTAGGCTTTCAGAACAGGGCAGAAGAACCCCCTTGCCCCTTGTCTCTGCTCCTCCCCTCACCCCACGCAGCTCTGCCCCTGCCTTCCTTCCCGGACAGAGACAGCAGGTGAGACTGCAGGTGAGCTCTGGGATGCTCTCGCCAGGCCCTTAGGCCCTTTGCTGCACAGCGGGGACTCCCGCTCTAGGCCCGCCTCCCAGATCACTGGGTTTCTTTTTTAAAAACTATCTTTAAAATCCTGAGTATTTATGGCAAGGGTAAGCAAGGCTTTAGGAACAAAGCTAACACCCCTGAATTCATCCCTCACTTTGAGATGAGGGATAATTCATGAATTATCATGGCCTTCGGAGCCCTGGAGGGCCCCCTCCCCAGGCAACCCACCCCTGGAGGAAACCATGGTCCCCAATTCTGTGTGTCCTTCCCCCCTTTTTCTTGGTCGCTTAGCTATATATATGTATATGTGTATATTTATATGTATATGTGTGTATATATATGTAAATATATTTTCATATTGTATATAATGTATATTATATACATACCATATATATGTAAATATATACACACACATACCACTTGCTGTTTTTAAATTTCATATTAAAAAAAACAAAAATCCTAAGCATCCTTCCATAACCTGGTTCTGTTTCTTCCCCTCAATACTACTACTCAGAGTCGCCTGCACCGACACATCTCCCTGGGGTTGGTTCATCCCCACTGCCGCAGTTTGGCTCACTCATTCCTTCTACTCAGAGATCTGCCTCGCTTCCAGCTTTGCTATCTGCTGCTCTCACAAGCATTCTGCGTGGACACACCTGTCACCTGTTGGGGCCACAATATACACGCACCTGCAGCTTGCCCCCCACTCTGCCACACACCACAGGCTGCTGTTGTGCTCACTCCCACCTCCCACCAGCGATACCACGCACTGCCTTCTCTAGCTCTCTCCGTCTCTGCCAGAGACTCCCTCCTCTTCTCCCTCCCACCTGAAGAATGCCCCACTTCGAGGTCTAGTTCAACATGCCATCTCCTCCAGGAGCCTTCCCCGGCCCCCTAGGCACACGTCCGTTAGTTCCTGTTTTGAACTCCCCCAATACTAAAGGCTCTAAAGCACTTGTCCTTCCTCCTGTATTTGAAAAATGCTGTTTATGTCTCAGTCTCTTATCCAGACCGAGAGCTTCCTGAAGGCCAAGACTGCCTGTCCTCTCTGTGTCACACTGCTTGACATGGAGCCTGGAAAATACATGGCTCAGTGACTATGAAAGAATGAAACACGTGGTGGGTGCACTGAAGCCATCTAGTTCACCAGCACCCCACATTTCCATTCTAGAGAAGAGTGGGGGGACACATACCAGGTTCCCCTGAGTGCTACCCATGGCCACACACGTTCCCTCCTGGGGAGGGGAGCAAACCTGCTGTCTGCTAACACCCATCCAAAGGCTTTGGCCCTCACACCTTCTGTACCTCCCATCCTCCATACCTAGCTTGCTGGGCCCAGCTACTTCCCCAAGGTGCCGGTGAGCCGGATGCCTGAAGGATGGTATCCCCAACTGCACACTGTGGAGGCAGTGAATCTCCTGTTTTGGGGCTACCTGGCTTTGATCTTCCCTCTTATTCCACCTCCAGGGCCTCACTGATGTGGGTGTTCTTGGGGAAGCATTCCTCTCCAGCTATGAAGTTGGGGGCAGATGGCTCAGGGTGGAGCTCATCACAGAATCTCAGCCCCTGGTCACAGGGACTAGTTCAGAGAATGGCCTGTGACCAAATAGGCCAGAATACAATGAGAAGACTTGTGACCTAGGGATTCAAAGGAAAGAAACCCTCTCTTTCTTAGGGAGCTATCAGAAGACAACCACCTTTTCCCACCTTTTTCTCTCCCTCTGGGACACAAGGCCAGGAACTATTTAACGGCTACTTTACTAATGGGAGGGAAGATTGTCCCAAGACAAAGCAGACACACCAGAGGAGAGAGCTGAGAAGACTACAGAGGAATGGAGTCAGAGTCTGATAATATAGTGAACTGCTGAAGCAAACCTTGCCTGAACCTGAACTTGGAACTTTTCAGTTCCATGGGCCAATGCATTCTCTTTGTTATTTTTACCACGTTGAGTTTTTCTGTTCTTGCCACCAAAAGCATCCTAGATCATCCATCCCCAATGCTGCCAGAGGAAAGAGAAGGAAACTAACGCTATATACCTATATGTCAGGCTGAGAATTCAACTTGCCTTCTCTATCACTGAATCTGTAAAGTGGTGGGTGGGCTTTCTCATCGCTCTCAGGATGGAACTGAGAGGACAGTCTCTAAGAGAATAAGACTTGTTTTCTTACATAATTGTTATAGCTCAGCTTAAGCATCGCTGATTTTTACAGGATTATTCTAAAGAAGGTGGCTATGGGGAGATTGTAATGCTCTGGGTAGGAAGTCACAGCTTACCTGTGGTCTTTGCAGTTGTGGTTTCTTTGAATTTGCTTTTAGCTACCTCTTTCTGGTATTCCGGAGGCGAGAAATCCCACCTCTTCTGGGCTGAAACAGGCACCAGGGGAATAGAGGGCAGCTTCAGGCGCCACTGGGGCCCCAGTGAGTCCACGAGAGCTCTGGTCATTCTGGAAAGGCAGGCAGTATTACAGGGAGGTTTGCGGTTGGGTCAAGATATTCCTTCTCTCATAAATCCAAAGTGGGTGGTACGAGAGCCAACATCCCCTTATAGCCTTCTGACAAACAGCAGGAACAGAACCGAAGTCTGCCACCATGACCCTCCCTCCCTGCCTGGCCATCAGCTGGCCACACTGTTACCTTCAAAGTGGTGACTGCTGCTTCTTTTTTTTTTTTTTTTTGACTGCTGCTTCTAAAGGGTACTTCAACCTTACCCCCGAAGGACCACACACGCCCCAAGAAGGGATTGTATGTCTTATATTTTTTTAATGGATCTATTCCAAGGTCATGTAAGCACCTGACATTTGATTACTGCTCAGACTTTTAAAAAAATACAAATCTTAGGTCATTATCAAGTTTTAAAATCCTCCACTGGTTCCCATTTTCCTAGGTTGACAGGGCCTGAGATCTGGTCTCCTCCCTACCTCCATTTTGACCGTGTGCCACATTCCCTCTCGATCCGTTTGTTCAAGCCTTTGCACATGCTTTTCCCTCTACCTGGAATGATCTCTTCACTTCCTACTCCCCATCTCCCCCTTCTGGGCCCAGCTAACTTGCTTAAAACGCTGCTTTGGGACCACATCCATTTGGTTACGTGATCTCCAGCACCTAGCACATCGCCAGGTGGGTGCCAGGTATGTGCTCCATCAGTGAGTAAAGCCAACTGTGTGGTTTTTCTGCTCCAACGACTGGGCTCCTATGTGACTAGAAAGAAAGCGTCACAGGCTGCTATCACTACAAACTCATGGTCTCTGACTAAGCCCCCAAAGCTATTTCAAACCTCCACCTTCCTCAGCCCAGTTCCCCAACCCCTCCTGCTTTTTCAGGGCACCCTTCCTGGTCCCACCTGCATGGGCACCGAATCCTTCCTATTTCTCTCCCGTCACCACTGAGGAAGTGATAAGGCCAGTCTCTCCACCTCAGCTCTGGGCCTCACCTCTTCCTACCTCCATCAGGAACCACAGCCAGCAGCTCTCCTCTAGCTTGATCTTCTCTACTGTCTTCCAACTGTCTGCACTTAACTACTTCCTCACTTCGTAAGACCCCCCTGGAGACCCTGCTCTGCCACCGCAGCTGGACTCCCCTGCTTCTCACAGCCAGGCTTCTTAAACGCACGGCCACCTGGGCTTCTGACCCTCCTGGATGCTTCCATAACCACCACCAGAAGCTCTCACTCTGAAACGCAGAAGCCTGCTTAAGTCATTAGAACACCTGACGGGAATGATGTCTTCACCCTTCTGGAAAGACTTCTTCCCTAAATGCTCCAAGTTTCCTCCTGCCCTCCAGCTGCAGTTCTCCTGGAAGTCCCTCAATGCTGCAATTTTCAAAGCATCATCCTGCTCACTTGCTGGGGGGTCTTTTTTTTCCTCCCACAACCTCAACTCACCTCTATGCTGACAGACCTTCAAATCCACATGCCTGCCTTGTATTTGTCTCTTCTGCTCCAAAACCCACATAACACCAGCCACTGTCCTTAAGTCTCTCGGTCCCCTCCAACTCAACGCATCAGCCACCGGATGATTCTCCTGTTCTTTCCTTCTCACCACCACAACAGCCAAATTCCCTGGACTGCTACTTAACTGTCCCCAGAACTGATCCCCCCATCCTCTTTCCACTGTGTCTACCCTCTGAGTTACTCCCCAGTTCTGCTCTTCTTCGTGTCATCCGGCAACATGGCAGCCAGGGGGCTCTTCTCCCAAATCTGCTCATGCAACTCCCCTGTGAAAGACCCTTTCACAATGCCTCACCCTGCCTAGAGTAGGTCCAGGCCCTGTGTAATCTGGCCTCACCTCACACGTCCAAGCTGAGCTGCTCACCAGCAGCACCAAGTGACATGGGACTTCTCACAACTCCTGGAATACATCATCCTGGCTCACCCTGCACAGCTGCCCTTCCTGCGGCCCTGGCCCCAGATGTCTCTCTTTTTTTTTTAATTTATTCATTCATGAGAGACACAGGCAGAGGGAGAAGCAGGCTCCATGCAGGGAACCTGACATGGGACTCGATCCCGAGTCTCCAGGATCACGCCCTGGGCCGAAGGTGGCGCTAAATCGCTGAGCCACCAGGGCTGCCCTAAAGTCTGTTTCTCAGGCTCAGCTTACCTCCTCTTCAAAGTCTTGACTGGCTCCCCCACCCCTGGCTGGTCAGGTGTCCCCTTCTGCCCCCACGGCCTCCTGGGCCGCCTGCCACCACAGCACCCACCACACTGTGGTGCACTGGGCTGTGACTGACTGGGGTTCCCCATGAGACCAGGGGTTTCATCAGGGCAGGAAGAGCTTTGTCTCAGGCATCACCCCAGGCCCTAATGCAAAGTCGGGTACATCTGAGTGGCAGATCAGGCCCTAATGCAAAGTCGGATACATCTGAGTGGCAGATTCTGCAGAACGATAAAAACTAAAAAGGAGGCAGAGAAAAAACAAGTCATGCTAAAAGCAATACACCAAACACATGCCATGAAGTCCTGGGAAGGGTTTGCTATTACTGTGGAGTCTGGCTTTCGAGCAGCCCATGCAAAGAGGGGAAACAATCAGTTACACAAATGAGGGCATCCGTGGCTAGAACAAACTGCCACTCAAAAGCCAGGAGGAAATGCCCCCTGCCAGGCCTCACACGGGGGTCACAGTACCACACACTGACCCACCCCTGCGAACACCACTCCTGTAGTGTTGGGTCCCAGATGCCCCTGTCTGTGTCTTACTTTCCCCACTCCACAGAGGTCTGTGAAACAAGTAGGCCTGTTTTTTATTGCAGTCCTCCCTACACACTGGGCACAATCCCTGACACAGAGCTCAGTAAGTTCTTACTATGCGAATGAATCTGAGCAGCTGGGTAATCAATCCAGCAATCCTCTCACTCTGACCTCTCAAGGCCCCACTGAACACAACAGTGGACTCGACTCTCCTTCCACCCCTTCCCCACATGCTCACTAGGAGTTTCTCGGCCTTGCTCAGAGGGACCCCCTGAAGGTGACCAAAGTCATGGTCCCGAGTGAATCCCAGAGGACAGGGAGTTCTAGAGAGATAGCCTGAAGTGACTCAGGCTCACCTGTTGATGCCTTCTAGGGCCGAGGCCACCTTGTCATCAATCTGCAGCACAGTCTTATAGTCGACGTAGGCCAGGGGGTACTTCTCCAGAGCCTCATAGGCCGATGCTCGCCGCAGCAAGGGCTTCATGCTGAAGGGAATCAGGGCCAGCGCTCTAGAGCAGGGGGCAGAAATGTCATCTGGCTGTTAAGTCACAAGGCAGGATCACCGGCAGCTTCCAGTACACAAGAGGTCACATCTGGCACAGAGACACTGCTAAAAAGGCCAAACCTTAGCAGAGGGGCTTTCCAGCTTAGACTGAAGAAGAGAAAGGAGGATGGGCAAAAAACCACAAATACTGTGAAATCTGTGTGTCCGGGCACCAATATTCATAGTTGCAATCCCCCCACATCAAGAACAAGTGCCTGTAGCTTTCATTCTTCCAAGTGTTTCTACAGAGTCTGACCTGGTGGGAGAAACAGGCTCTGCAGTCAGATGGAGTGGTGTCTGGACTCCACCTCTGCCACCAACCACATGGCCCCCAGCAGATCACTTTACGGCCTCCATTCTAGCCTGGGCCGGACGGTAAACTTACCCCGCAGAGCAGTCATGAGCCTTCCAAGAAGGAAACCTGGCACAGGCCGGTACAGAGCAACTTACACGGGCTCCATGAGCACGCTCACCTCTCTTCTCATCTAGCACCAGGGCATGAATTAAGGTGAAGCCATAGGATATCGGGTCTAGGAACACATGAAGGCATGTGTCCCACTTCAGTGATGAGGAAATAAGGCAGTGTCAGACTGCCTTGCAGAAGGAACAAGTATGAAAAACTGCTGAACGTCCTTTACATCTGGGTCATCGATGGATACCTTCTGCTCCTTGCTTCACTAACCTCTGTCCCTCTTTCTTTCTCTCCCATGCACATCCACCCCAGAAAACACCTGGGCAAACCAGTCACGAGTCTGCAACTCAACCTCACCCTGGGGGCCCCAATCTCACAGGGCCCTGGAGGCCCACCTCTAAGTCCTTGCCCTACTCCCTTTCTGGCAGACTCCAGAGATACAAGTCAGAGGCCAAAAGCACCAGTCAGTGACCTGGTAACACCTAAAGACCCTTCCTAATTATCTGGCATAGCTCTAGCTATGGGAATCGGTCCAAAGAAGAGGCTCCTCTCCTGAGAACCCCCCGAGGTCACCCCGGCTACTTACGAAGTGCAATCCTTGATGCAGTCCCTGCAGTTGCCATCCTTCAGGTGGCACGCGGCGCGGTTAGAGAAGAGAATACTTTCTTCTTCAGGGTTCGAACAACCTGCCAGGTGGAAGCGGAAAGTACGAGATTAATAGGGAAATGGATGCCCTGGGACGTCTTTCATTCCTGAGCTCTCTGGGCTACCTGACCAGGCTCGCTGGTCTGATGGACTGCCAGCTTTGTCATCCTTACACGGGGGTGAGAGCAGCAAGCTTCCTGCCACTCACAGGGAACCGAGTACCTTCTTATTCACTCACTCCAGCACTGAAGTTAGGACCAGGCAAAAGACAAAAGAGGAACCAGCTGGCTTCTGCTCAAAGAAATCCATGCTCTAACTATGTGTGTGTGTGTGTGTGTGTGTGTGTGTGTGTGTGTGTGTGTGTGAATTTTGTTACAAAAAGCATGTAAACCCAGTAAGAGGGGTTCCTGAAAAAGAAAAAGAAGAATGTGATAAATAGACTGAACAGGTATTATGGGGACACAAAAGACAGAGACTAATCCTACTTGGTCAAATCAGAGAGGACTTTGTCAGGACAATGCACAACTTAATTAGGGGATGGATTCAAGCTACCCCCCCATTGGGGAGGAGAATTACCAGACACTTCTCTAAAGGTAATCCTTATCCTCAGCAATCTCAGAAGCTCATGTCTTTTACTGTGTGGCCACGATGACTTTTAATTTTAAAAATAATTTTTCGGGGGATCCCTGGGTGGCGCAGCAGTTTAGCGCCTGCCTTTGGCCCAGGGCGCGATCCTGGAGACCCGGGATCGAATCCCACGTCGGGCTCCCGGTGCATGGAGCCTGCTTCTCCCTCTGCTTCTCCCTCTGCCTATGTCTCTGCCTCTCTCTCTCTCTCTCTGTGTGACTATCATAAATAAATAAAAATTAAAAAAAAATAATTTTTCGGGCAGCCCAGGTGGCTCAGCAGTTTAGCACCGCCTTCAGCCCAGGGCCTGATCCTGGAGACCCAGGATCGAGTCCCATGTCAGGCTCCCTGCATGGAGCCTGCTTCTCCCTCTGCCTGTGTCTGCCTTTCTCTCTCTCTCTCTCTCTCTCTCTCTCTCTCTCTCTCTCTCTGTCTCTCATGAATAAATAAAATCTTTAAAAAATAATAAATAATAATTTTTCAACCACTTCATACCCACTAGCAGAGGCCATAATGGAAAACAAACAAACAAAAAGCTCCAAAACTATTAAGTGCTGACTCAGTAATTCCCCTCCTGGGTATATATGCCAAAGAATTAAAAACAAACTCTTTTCTGAAGACTATAAAACATCTAGAATACAGTAAAAGATATACTTGACGTCCATCACTGGACTTGGCATACATTACATTTGTTCCCAACCTTTTTCATTTCTGAGATGGCTAAAGCCCCACTTATCCTCATCTTTTGCCCTATGCTTCTTCCCCAGACTCCGGGAGGTCAGCGTAACCCTGAAATTGGTATGTAACATTCTTCTTCTTCTTTTTTTAAAAGATTTTATTTATTTATTTATTTATTCATGAGAGACACACACAGAGAGAGGCAGAGACACAGGCAGAGGGAGAAGCAGGCCCCATGGAGGAAGCCCGACATGGGACTCGATCCTGGGTCTCCAGGATCAGGCCCTGGGCTGAAGGTGGCGCTAAACTGCTGAGCCACCTGGGCTGCCCTGTAACATTCTTTTATACGTATGTTTGCCTACCTCTATTACATATGGTTCACAGGGAAGAGAATATGGCATTTTATATCTTTCAAAGCTTTTAGAAATTAAGTGGTACCCCGCTGCCTATCCTTCCACAACTTAATTTTTTCCACTACGTATGTTGCCACATAGAGGGATGATCGTTTTTGTTCAATATCGACAATAACAAACCTAAAAAAATATATAATAACTAATGCACACATTAAAAACAACAAAATAGGGCAGCCTGGGTGACTCAGCGGTTTAGCGCCGCCTTTAGCCCAGGGTGTGATCCTGGAGACCCGCGATGAAGTCCCGCATTGGGCTCCCTGCATGGAGCCTGCTTCTCCCTCTGCCTGTGTCTCTGCCTTTCTGTGTCTGTCATGAATAAATAAAATCTTTAAAAATAATAATAACTTTCTCCCTGACTTTACTAGGCCCTCTGGAACAGCAAAGTACAGAAAAAAGTAAAATATATCCTTGCCCTTAAGGAACAAGTACAAGTACTCAGAACTTGCAGTCCCTCTCAAGTCGCTAGGGCGTGGTCGCACAGAAACAGCAGCGGTGCCATGGGAAGGGCATTGGAACCTATGATTCTGCCGGTGAGCCCACAGGAGTCACTCAATCCCTCTGATCGTATGTGCTCACCTGTCACATCAAGATTCTACTTCACAGACTTGCTGGAACAGTCTATTTTGTTAGGTTGCTCCCTGCTGTCCTTTCAAGATCAGCAAAACTGATCAGAGAAATCAAGGGATTTGCCCATAAAACATGTGAAAAATCAATAGCAAGGGTAGAATCAAATGCTGGTCCCCCCTACTAAATCCAGACTCCAGGCCAGCCCTTCTAAGAATCCAGAATAAATCTATACAAAGGAATAAGCTTTTTCAGGTCAACTGGGGTAAGATGAAAGAAAAAGGCAAAAATATCAGTATCTCAGATTTGTCAGTGACTTCATCAAGTGAGGCTGAGATGAGGAGGTGGGTCTAAAGAGGAGCGTCCTAGAAAAACAAGAGGATTTGAGAAGTCTAGCACAATGATTTAAAACATGGACTTAGGGACACCGGGTGGCTCAGGGGTTGAGCGCCTGCCTTTGGCTCAGGGTGTGATCCTGGAGACCTGGGATTGAGTCCCACATCGGGCTCCCTGCATGGAGCCTGCTTCTGTCTCTGCGTCTCTCATGAATAAATAAAATCTTAAAAAGAAAATTAAATAAAACGTGGACTTAAAAATCAGACAGACCTATATTCAAATCCTGCCTCTGATTCCTTCATTGTGTAACCCAGGGTTAACTCTTCTGGACTCCTCATCTATGACGTGTCTTATCCATAAGTTTGTGTGAAGATAAAAAGGAATGATGTCGGGATCCCTGGGTGGCGCAGCGGTTTGGCGCCTGCCTTTGGCCCAGGGCGCGATCCTGGAGACCTGGGATCGAATCCCACGTCGGCTCCGGGTGCATGGAGCCTGCTTCTCCCTCTGCCTGTGTCTCTGCCTCTCTCTCTGTGTGATTATCATAAATAAATAAAAATAAAAAAAAAAAAAGGAATGATGTCTGTAGTGTCTAGCGCACAGTAAAGGACTCAACAAATGCCAGCCGAGAAGAGAAGGGGAAACAGGTACTACAGAAAATGAGGGCTCATGGGTAAGACGGTCTGGAGGAGTTTGGGGGCAATGGGCTGTGGTTGGTTAGAATGAGGCTTACCTCTTCTCCAAAGTGTCTTCCCATGAGCTAGAGGCCGGGAAGAACTGATAAGGATGCGCAGCTCCTCTATTTAAAACAGAGCTCCCCAGTAGCCTCCCTTCAGGGAATAAAATCCAAACTCCTTACCACGACCTACCATGTAAAATGCCTATGCAAAACGACTCTGCCTACCTGCCCTCAATACTTACTATTCCTCCACTCTCTATGGGGCTCACTAGGCTCTGGCTCCTGCAACACAACACGCTTATTCTGCCCTGGCGCCCTTTGTAAAGGACAGTTCTCTCCACCTGGAATATGCAGCACCCAAAACTGTGCCTGCTTGGCTTCTTCTCATCATTCGGACATCAACATCACTTCTAATGTCACTTCTTCCAAGTTGTCCCTGACCTTCCACTCTAAAGGAGCTCCCCAGTCACCCCTCTCACCACGTTACTGTATCTGCCCCCTCCACTTTTTAAAATATTTTATTTATTTATTCATGAGAGACACAGAGTGAGGCAGAGACACAGGCAGAGGGAGAAGCAGGCTCCCTGCCCAATCCCAGGGCCCCGGGATCATAACCTGAGCCAAAGGCAGATGCTCAACCACTGAGCCACCCCAGTGTCCCTTATATTTATCTTCCTCGCAGCCCTAATCCTTATCAGACAGGCCTTGTGTACATTTGGATAAAGAAAGGTGGTATATGCATACAACAGAAAATGAAGCAGCCTTAAAAAAAAGAAGAAATGTCACATGCTACGACATGGATTACAAGGCCCTTGAGACCGTTTTGCTAAGCGAAATAAGCCAGTCACAAAAGACAAACACTGTATGACCTCACTCATTTGAAGCACCTAAACTAATCAAAATCATAGGTAGGCAAAGGAGAAAAGTGGAAACCCAGGGCTGAGGGGACGTAAGGAAGACAGATTAGTGTTTAGCAGGTACCGAGTTCCACCGTCGCAGATGAAAAAGTTCTAGCGATCTGCTGCACGACCATGTGAATGTACTTAAGAGCCCACTTAAAAATGGTTAAGGTAAATTCAACGCTGTGGTGGTTTTTTTTTTTACTGCAATAAAAAAAAATGTGATAAGACCCCCATTACTATGGAACTATGTTTGTGATATGTCAGTGAAAAGGAACCAGGAATAAAACTGTATTATAATTAAAAAAAAAAAAAAGTGTTAAGGGCCAAGGAAGTTTCTCGTAGGATGCCGGGGCGGGTGGGGGAATGGCGGGAAGGATGCGCGGGAGCCCGGTGAGCCAGCTGGCCGCGGGGAAAGCAAGCCCCGGGCTGACCCAGGGCGGGAGCGAGGTCTGGGCGGCGGCGGGGGTCACGGAGGGGGAAGCCGGCCGGCGGGGAGACGGGAGGGCGCGGGGGGCCCAGGTCCTACCTTGCGCCTGCAGCGCCCGCAGCGCGCGGCTGTAGAGCCCCGCGGCCTCGGCGAACTGGCCGTTGCGGAAGCTCTGGTTGCCGGCGGCGCGGAGCCCCTCCACGGAGTCTGCGAGCTTGGGGACCATCCCGCGGCCGGGCCGGCGCACCGGGGGCGGGGGGCGCGTCCGTTACCGCGCCGAGGCGTGCGCAACCGCGTGGGCGGGAGCACCGGCGGCCGAGGACGCGGGCCCGCTGGGAGCCTGCCCGGGAGGGGGAGGGGCGGGGCCGGGGCTGCGCGCGCCAGGGGCCCCCTGCGCATGCTCGGGGCGGGGCCGCCCGGCCGGGCGCGCTCGGGCCCCTGGAGATGCGCTGGGCGCCGCGGTTGCTGAGACTCCGTAGGTGAAAGCGTGAACGAGACCCGGCGCCTGCTCGCAAGGAGCTTACGCTCTAAGGGGAACCGATGCGCTGTTAAGTCCTGAGCAAACGAACACCATAGTCTCTTGTGATTAGTGCTAGAAGGAAAACCGAACTGGGATGTAATGGAAAGTGACCACGTGGGGACTATTTTAGATCAGAGGGTGGGGGGTGGGGTAGGGTCTCCGAGGGACTAATTGAGCTGAAGGGGCCTGAGAAGATTAAAGGAGCGCGGGCCCAGACAGAGATAGCAAGTGCAAAGGCACTGAGGCTGGAAACTAACTGGTACCTGGTGCTCTATAGATAATTGATTTAATGAATGATTGCACTGATAGGCTGATGAGGATCTTTCACTGAGGGAGGCTTTAGCTTAGCTTCAGCGTCCCGTCCCACTTGATGTGGGACATTAATTGCTTGTTGCCACCTGCGCACGTGAAGCTGTTTTTCTTGCTTCCCAACCTTTACTTATGCGCCCCACCCCCCTGAATTTTTTTTTTTTTTCAACCACTTCTCTTCCTGATCCCGACTCCATCTGTAATCAACTCAGCCATCCTCTCTGAACGCCTTTCTGGACTCCTCAGGTCTTTTTCACTTTGTTCCGCCTCTGCTCCTATGCTCCCAGGGTTTATCTCTCATTTAGCACTTATCACTCTGTGATTGTCAGTTTACAGCTTTTCTCAAACACTGTAAGATTTTTTAAAGGCAGGTAGTAAAAAAATAAAAATAAAAAAATAAAGGCAGGGAGTAGGCCTTTGTTTTTGTCTCAAGACCTAATAGGATCTGGCGCCAAACATGCAGTTATAAAGGTTTGTTGGCAAACAGCTGGTCTCTGAGGTGTTTAGTTATAATTATTTCTGTAAACCTCACCCAACCAGATTACAAACTTTCTGGAGGTTGAATGGCTGTTCCGTCTGCATCCCCTCAGTCCAGGGCAGGTCCCCCATGTGGAAAGCATGAACACTTAATGTGGTAGGGAAACCCTAGGAGGCACACAAACTGTTGGTTATCTACTCAACAGCTTCCATCTTTGCTTCTAGAAGTCTGGATTCTCCTGGTCCAGGGAATATCAGGGTTTCTTTAAACCAATCACAATCTCACTTCCTTTTGCCAGTGATTGGCCAGGGGTGGATGTGACCCTGATACACCTGCCGAGATTATGGGGATGTCTCCCGGGTGCTTATGGGAAAGTTTTTCTTCCCAGATAAGAGGTACAGGACTGCAAAACAACTTTTTTTTTTTTTTTTTTTTTTGCTTTCTTTATGCTTTGGGTACTGTTGAGTTAAGGATATACACCTGGACATGTGACAGTCATTTTGCAATTATGAGGCAGAAAGCACAGGTATGAAAAATCAATATGCTGAGTAGGGCGGGAGCTGAAAGGTGAAATTGACATTGTTGATCTGCTGAGTCAACCCTGGAACGTCTGACTTCTGGACTACTTACTGATAAACAGCAAATGCCACAGTGCTTTAGCCACCACTTAGATGTTTTTGTTTTTTTTTTTTTTTTAGTTGCTTGCAGGTGGAGATATTATAAATGGTACCACCATATTATAAATGATACAAATTCACTGGTGGCAAGTGGTATTTTCCAAAAATGACCAGAACAATAATTTCCAGTCCTCTACCCTCTTCCAGAACTTGGCCATCAAAGAGATGGAGTCTATCTCAGCTGTCTTTGAAACTGCAAAGGACTTTGAGGACCCCTCAACAGTGGAAATGACATTATCTACCTTCCAAGGCACTACAGCTCCCTCCTGGCTCTCTCTCACAAATATCCTCAGAACCTAGCGTTTGGGATCCCTGGGTGGCGCAGCGGTTTGGCGCCTGCCTTTGGCCCAGGGCGTGATCCTGGAGACCCGGGATCGAATCCCATATCGGGCTCCTGGTGCATGGAGCCTGCTTCTCCCTCTGCCTGTGTCTCTGCCTCTCTCTCTCTCTCTCTCTCTCTCTCTCTCTCTCTCTCTCTCTGTGACTATCATAAAATAAAAAAATAAAAAAAAATTAAAAAAAAAAAAAAAGAACCTAGCGTTTATTCTGTGAGGAGACTCAAAAAAACAAAACCAAAACAGAGAAGACCCTTCTACTCCCAGGGCCAAGTAAGCTTCTAGCCAACAGCCAGCACCGCCTTGTCAGCCATGTGAGTGAGGCATTATTGGATAGGAATTCATCCAAATAGTGAAGGACTCCAACACCATGGAAGAGTTGAGCCTTCCCTGCTGAACTATGCTCAAATTGTAGATTTATGAGAGAGAGAGAAAAAAATACTGTTCTATGCCACTAATTTTGGTAATGGTTTCTTTCATTTTTTAAGATTTGAGACAGACACAGAGTGAGCAGAGGGAGAGGGACAGACTCCCCACTGAGCTGGGAGTCCAAAAAAGAGGGAGGGGGTGATTCCAGGACCCTAAGATCATGACCTAAGCCAAAATCAAGAGTCAGTTGGACGCTTAACCAACTGAACTACCCAGGCACCCCTGGGAGTGGTTTCTTACACAGCAATTGAGAGATGGCAATCCCTTCCCACAATGCTTCCCATAATATCAGGGCTTCCCTTTTATTAGGGCTGATAAAAGCAGAACTGAAAGAATTTAAGGAAGGGAGATAATTGGGGGGTCGGGGCAGAGGGGAAGTCTTCTAGGAGGTGACTTTTTATTTTTTTTTAAGATTTTTATGTATTTATTCATGAGAGACACAGAGAAATAGAGACATGGGCAGAGGGAGATTTCCCGCAGGAAGTCTGATGCGGAACTCGATCCCAGGACTTTGGGATCATGACCTGAGCCAAAGGCAGACGCTCAACCACTGAGTTACCCAGGTGCCCCAGGAGGTGACTCTTTAGAAACAACTTTATTGAGAAATAATTCACTAGCATATAATTCACCCATTTCGAGTACAGTTCAGTGGCTTTTTATTATAGAGTTGCACAATCAATTTTAGAATTTTCATTACCCCAAAATGAAACCCTACATTCTTTTAGTTTTCATGTCAATTCACCTACCCCATCTCCCCCATCCCCAAGCCCAAGCCCAAAGCAACCACTAATCTACATTCTGATATATTTGCCTATTTTTAACTTTTCATGTAAATGGAATATGATATATGATACTTTGTTGGCTCCTTTCATGTAGCATAGTGTTTCCTGGGGTCATCTACGATGTAGCATGTATCAGAACTTCATCTTTTTTTATTGAATAATATTCCATTGTATACATTTTTTGGGTGTCCAATTTATTATTTATTTTTTGTCCAATTTATTTATACATTTATCAGTTGATGCACTTTTGAGATCTATTTTTGGGGCAGGAAGTAACTTTTGACATTTATTGAGATTTCATCTCTCTGAATTAACCATCTCATCAAAGCCATATTTAATACGTATTCAGCTTTAATGGAGAAGGAATAGATATTACAGCCATAGTCTCCTAGGTGTGATGATATGCACAGATATTATTATTGGACATTAATTTTTTTTTATTTATGATAGGCACACAGTGAGAGGGAGAGAGGCAGAGACACAGGCAGAGGGAGAAGCAGGCTCCATGCACCAGGAGCCCGACGTGGGATTCGATCCCGGGTCTCCAGGATCGGGCCCTGGGCCAAAGGCAGGCGCTAAACCGCTGCACCACCCAGGGATCCCTGGACATTAATTTTTTATTGTTGTTTAAACACTTCTTTTCAGGGTTAACTGGTCGTTTCATTTAACTGAGCCAGGCACAGCCAATACTTTTATATGCTAATTCCAAATAATGAACCAATTAGTCTTAGGGAAAGAAGTATAAACAGCATCATAATTTGTCAATTTATAATTCTGGATGCTTTTCAATTCAGGTGTATCAATCACAATCTGAGTAAGATGGCTTATAGGAGGGATTTTTTTTTTTTTAATGGGAGCTTAGTGGTTTTATTAACACGATTGAAATCTTGCTCTCATAATATGTAGGCATTGCAGGCCACAAATAAGATTTTAGAAACCCTCATAAACTGGGAATTCCTGGGTGGCTCAGTGGTTTAGCGCCTGCATTCAGCCCAGGGCATGATCCTGGAGTCCCACATCAGGCTCCCTGCATCGAGCCTGCTTCCCCCTCTGCCTGTGTCTCTGCCTCTCATGAATATATAAAATCTTAAAAAAGAAAGAAAGAAATCCTCATAAACCAAGATCTCATTTGGAAGTACCAAAGCTTTCCCTTCCATATTTGGGGATACACACATAGAGCCTCATCAAACAGCATTCATTCTTCACATACACACATTCTAGTGTAAATCCTTGAACATCTCCCCAGGTATCTTCTTCCTATGCTCGCTCACATCAGCAGCTCCACTGCCTCTGATCCTTTTACACGAATTTATTTCTATACAAGGTTCTAAAAACACCCCTTGGTTTGTACATAAGTTTTTTTTTCTTCATTTTAAATTGCTTTATAACAACTGGTTTCCTGATTTTTTTTTTCATTTTCTCTTTTCTCTGAAATCTGCCCTGATTTAAAAATAAGGACAAAAGGAAATAAAAATGCTGTTGGCCAGAAGACAGGGTGGAGAAAAACAAAAAGGACAAAAAAATAAAACATCAAATATGAAAATTCTCAGAGATAATGCATTTATAAACACAGAAATGGTTACAACAAAGATGGCCGTGATGAGTGGGTATATATATATATATATATATATATATATATATATATATTTATTTATATATAAATCCGTGTCCGGCAACTGACCGTGGCACCTAGGGAGCTAAGTCCAGTCCTTGTGTTTGCCCTGAACTCTCCCTTCTCTGCAACACCCCTTGTTTTGGGCTTTCATAAAGAACACAAAGCTCCCATAGCTCCTCTGGCTTTGGGATTGGGAGACTGAGTATAGGGTTTTGGCTGGCAGAGAAGGGGAGAGGCTCCAAGGAAAACGATAACCCACATTTCTAAGCCACCCTTGACCATTTTGGGGATCTCCGGCCCCTTGGGGACCACATCTCAGTCCTTGCCCCTTTACAAATAAAGGGGGTCTGACCCCCACCCCGATCTCCCTCTTCCAGCAGTAGGTAGGAAGTGAAGTGAGACCACAAGGGGAAGACAGCTCCCGGGGGTCGGGGCATTTGAAAAACTATAGGAGGGATTTGAAATAAGAATTTAATTCAGGGAATTGGTTTCAGAGGTGACAAAGGAGCCAAGATGCCAACAGGTAACAGTGAAGGAGCCCAAAGGTCAGCAGCAGCAGGAAATGACTACAATGCTCAGGACTTGAAGATAAAAAAGGAAATGGTGATGGTGTGGTTTGGAGTGTTGGGGTTTGGCTAAGAAAGAATTCCTGACACATCTTTGGTGGAAAAAGGTGGGTTTTTATTAAAGCACCGAGACAGGACCCAGGGGTGGAAAGAGTTGCACTGGGGTTGTGAGGAGTGACTCATGAAAGATTTTCTGACCTAGGGAGGGGAGGGTGATGTTTAGAGCTTCAGGAAATTGAGTCTATGGGATTCTGAAAATTGCTTTTTTCTTACAAATCATGAAGTCAGTTGAAAGCTGAAGAAAACTTGTATTTTGCGTGACTGTGATCTTTATCATTTTTTCCCCTTTCCTTTGCTCTAGGGCAGCCATAAGTGCCTGAAGAATGTCACACATATCCCATGGAGGGGGGGCAGCTGGGGAGGATTAGCATGTGCTTTGCTCTGTTTGCCTTTGCTCCCATGTCAGTGATATTTACAGGGTCGGAAGCTGTAGTTGCTAGAAGCTGAAGCCAAGTCAGGACATTCTAGAAGGAGCTGAAGACAAAGTTACTGTTGGATACTTGATCAGAAGCAAAGAAGAGAAAAGACTGGCTTCTCTCTTGGTTTTGCCCTCTGCCTCCTGCTAGTGCTAGCTGAAACCATCCAGAAGTCCGCTGACATGGGAACCTGGGAAGTGAGCTTGTACAGTTGGTCTCCTCCCCCAAGATATCTTAGGTATGACATCAAAAATATGACTCATAAAAGAAAAAAATGGATAAACTATACTTAAAAATTAAAGTTCCTGTTCTTTAACTGAGATTAAGAGAATGAAAATACAAGTCCCAGATAATGTTTGTAAATCACATATCTGATAAAGGACATGCATCCAGAATCCAGAATATTAAAAAACTCTAAGAACTCAATAATAAAACAATGCAATTTATTTTTTATTTTTTTTATTTATGATAGTCACACACAGATAGAGAGAGAGGCAGAGACACAGGCAGAGGGAGAAGCAGGCTCCATGCACCGGGAGCCCGACGTGGGATTCGATCCCGGGTCTTCAGGATCGCGCCCTGGGCCAAAGGCAGGCACCAAACCGCTGCGCCACCCAGGGATCCCAAACAATGCAATTTTAAGGAGGACAAAGACTTGAACAGATAATTCAGAAAATGTACAGATGACAAGCACTTGAAAAGATGCTCATCATTAGTTGTTAGAGAAATGCAGTGGGGGGGGAAAAAGAGAATCTCAAGCAGACTCCTTACTGAGCGTGGAGCCAGACACAGGATCTCACTACCCAGTGATGATGACCTGAGCCAAAATCACAAGTTGGACACTCAACTGATGACCCACCCAGGTGCCCCATTGGTTCTTTCTCTTAAGCAATTATCATATTACAGTTCATTGAGGTTTGCGATTTAAATTATTAAATATGATTTAAAATTTAGTTTTTCATACTAGCCACGTTTAAAGTGCTCGATAGCCACATGTCTATGGCAGTGGTTCTGGACAGCATATACATAGAACATTTCTATCAAAACAGAAATTTCTAAGGGTGCCTAGGTGACTCGGTGGTTGAGTGTCTGCCTTTGACTCAGGTCGTGATACTGGAGTCCTGGGATTGAGTTTGGCATCAGGCTCACTGCAGGGAACCTGCCTCTATATCCCTGTCTCTCATGAACAAAGAAATCTTAAAAACAAAAAACAAAACCCAGAAATTTCTATGGGGCAGTGCTGGGCTGGAAGTTCTGCTGAAAATAAGGCAATCTTTTTTTTTTTTTTTTTAAAGATTTTATTTATTTGAGAGAGATTGAGAGAAAGAGAGCACAAGTGAGCAAAGGAAGAGGGAGAAGCAGGCTACCTGCTGAGCAGAGAGCTGGATACTGGACTCAATCCCAGGACCCTGAGATCATGACCCAAGTCAAAGGTAGACACCCAACCGACTGAGCCACCCAGGCACCCCAAAAGAGGGGAATCCTAACGTCAGTCTATCTTAGGGAAAATCCCAGGAAGGGGATAAACAGGGATGTTTGACATCATGTATTGGTAAGCTGACATTTATTTTTAAAAAATGCTTTCTGAGTACCTTCTTTTATAGGGATGCGTGTGTGGGCAGCAGGGCCTGAACCTTAAAGTCAAAAGTAGAGTGTGCTTTAGGAGAAGTACAGGAAAAGTACCAGGGGATTTCAGAGGATAGAGGGCTGACTTTTTGCAATAGGGACCTGTGACGGCTTACTGTTTGATGCAAACTTTTTGATCTTTACTACCCCAGAGCTCTTACTGGCATTTACACAGATTTCTAGTAGGGCAAAGTGCAAGTAAAACATGGATTCTGTGGAGTCTAGCCAGTCTTGGGTTAAATACTTTTCTCTCACTAGCTGCGTATATGAGTTCTCCTTATCCACAAAATGGGGATAATAACTTCTACTTCATCGGGTTGTTTTGAGGATTGTGTCTGGCACATAGCAGATTCGCTAGAAATGTTTTCCTCCAGCTTAAGGGGAATGGATCCATTACCCCTATTTTAGCATATGGGATGCCATGCATGGGTGGCCCTGAAAAGTGGATGCTCAGGCGTTAATTTCATGGATGACATACCTTTGGGAAAAGCAGGACAATTAAAAACAGTGATGTTTTCTCATGTAACTTACCCCATGGGTAAATTGGGTGGAATATGCTTTTGGCAACTGAAGGTTTACAGATTGCCATAGCTGGAACTAGAGCTCTTGAGCAGAGAGGAGACCCTGACCCTCACGCCCCAACAGAGGGTACACATCAATGGTTGTCCAGTTTGGTCAGACTCAGTGCAAGCTTTGCACTGAGTCTGACCTGTATCTAAATCTGCAAATCCGTATTTTTAGGAAGGGACCTTCATATTCATCTCCTTTTAAAAAAGAGAGCAATAATAGTACTCACCTTACAGGGTTATTAGGAGTATTAAATGAATTAATTCTAGTAAACCACCGAGAACGTGGTAAGCACTGTGCGTCAAATACATAAAAAAAAAAATGGGGGGTAACGTTACAGAGTTCGTATGAGGATTAAATGAGACCGGTAAGCTGGCACCTGGCAAGCACTTAATCACGATTTATCTTTAGGTCTGCAAACGGACTCAAAGGTGACAGGCCGTTAAGAAAAGGAGCTGAGCAATTTGCAGCCCGATGTTCCGTGACATCCAGGGGCGGCCCGGCCTCCGTCTGGGTCGAGAATGCACCCGGCTAGGAGCGGCAGGAACCCACCGATACCTCCGGGAGTCCCTGGAGCAGCGCTTCCCAGGAATCGCGTAGGACTCGGCGGGTTAGGAATCGCCGGCGCTTCGCAGGAAGCCTCAGTATCTCCGAGGGATGAGGGCCGGCCCGAGTCCGAGCGTCCGGGGCGAGCAGAGTCGCCCCAAGGCGCGGCCGCGGACGGAGCCCGGCCCGGGGAAGGACGCTCGGGGTTCCGGGTCCGCGCGCCGCGCGCCACGTGACTCACGCTCCGCACCACGTGGTCCGGGCCAGCGCCCGGCCGCCCCGCCCCGCCCCGCCCCGCCCCGCTCGCGCACCGCGCGCCGCTTCCGGTGGGGGCGGAAAGCGGAAGTGTGGGAGGGTCTGCGGGGCGGGCTCGGGGAGGTCCCGGGGGAGGATGGAGCAGTGAGCGGGTCTGGGCGGCTGCCGGCAGCGCCATGGAGACGGTGCAGCTGAGGAACCCGCCGCGCCGGTGAGGGGACGGCTGAGAGCAGGGGGTGGGGGACCGGGAAAGGCGGGAACTGGCGGAGGGGAGGCACCGGGTGCGCCCCGGAGGCAGGGACCAGCCGGGCTAGGCGATCCTGGCACCTGCTGAGTGGGAGGGGGTCCAGCAGAGGGGAGCACGCGCCCAGGGTGATAAACGTGGGGCTGGGGAGGGAGAGCACTTGCTGTGGGCGGGGGGGGGAATCCTGGCGGGAGGGGGCACTGCTGAGGGGAGCAGCTGTTGAGGGACGTGGGGACAAGTTAGGGAGAGCACCTGCCGAGGGCGGGGGCGGCTCGGGGGAGGCCATCCTAGGACCCATTCATTGGGGTAGGGGCGATGCTGTAGCAGGAGGAGAACCTAGAGGGGTCCAAAGTGTGGGTCAGGTACAAGCAGAGAAAGGCTGGGCGGACTTTCTAAGGGAAGGGGTCCCCCTCGCGGGATGCGGTGGGGAGAATCTGTGGAGGGGGAAGGCTTTGCGCCTAAGGCTGAAGGCACACCGAGAAAGGGCGAAGGTCCAGCAAGGGAGGGCTTCGTGCAGGATAGCATTTAGAGCATTTTCTGGGTAGGGTCTGCACTCTGGGAGGAGTGTGACATCTTTTATTCCTGGTGGCCCGTGCCTTCCTAGTTTTCCTTACATCCTCAGCTTTCCAAACCTGACATTAGGAGGTGGATTAGGAAGTAAGAGGATATTTTCAAGAAGGGCAAACAGAGGCCCAGAAGAGTTGAGATACAGTCCTAGGTGCTTCCTTCTTTGCCGTAGGTCTGGGTCATGACCTGACCAGGCTGGGTCCTTTTCAGGCCTCTATTGTTTTGTATCAGCTCCAGATCCCGCTGCTACCTGGAATTGTTTTAAGTCGAGATCAGGGATGTGGCTGGTCCTAGAAAGTGTGAACTCTTGCGTTGGTTTTGGCTGTCTCATTGATTTGCTCTGGGGACACTGGGGTCTGGTGTCACTTTGCCACATCTGGAGAAAAAGAGGGAGAGAGCAGAGATCAAGAGAGTCATGCTTCTTTGCGGTGCAGTGTAGTTAGCTTCTATTTCACAGAGATCTCTGACTTCCTGCACCAGAATGAGCACTAAACTAGGAAGTGTTCAGTGTGTGGGAGTGTGGGGCAAAGGAGAGGTGCCTGGGCTGCACACTTGGGGTTTAGTTGAAGTACACAAACATTGCAGAAGGCAAATAGCTGGTTGAGATGGACTCCTAATTCACCCTACTGTAGCGTGCTGAACGGAAATGATAATGATTCTTACATATACAGCACTTAGCTGGGTGCCGGGGACCGATCTCAGTGCTTTCCGTGTCTCCTGGTGAACCACACGTAATTGACCTATAAAAATGGTAATTTTGTGTGGTTCACTTCATTATAACTCTTTCGGTCTTCACAACAATCCTAGGAAGGTGGTTATCTCCAGATCTCTGTTTTACAGGTGATAAAACAGAGGCACAGAGAGTTTTAAGTGATTTGTGGAAGATTCCACAGTTAGTTAAGTGGCAGAGCTGGGGTTTTAAACCAGGCGGTCTGGTTCAAAGTCCATGCTCGTAACTGCTCCCTCTGATGCCGCTCTGGAAGTACCCCGGTTCCACAGGGCCCGTGTATGTTAGCAAGTATTTGCCAGAGCACCATAGTGATCCAGCTATAAATGTACACTGGTGATGTTTCTTTCTGAAATGCATTCCGTTTAATTGAAAAGAGAATTAAGAATCTTGAGTTTTGTTTCTACGTTTGCCTTGTGTTATATAATTTTGGGCAAAAGAGTACACGTTTTTTGCTTTTGGACATGCTCATTCCTGGATCTTTTGGATTTTAAGAAATTTATTAAATGAGAAAGAGAAGGACATTGCAGGGCTGAATTCTTGAATGACTGGTGCTTTCCTGCTCATCATTACTAGTGAAGTACCTAATCTGCAGTAGATTAACTTTATTAGTTGCATTAGATGGCTGTCTCTTTACTGTGTCTTCACATGGTCTTCTTTCTATACCTCTATGCGTCCTTATCTCCTATAAGGACACCAATCATATTGAATTAGGGCCCACCCATATGACCTATTTTACCTTAATTATCTCTTTAAAGTCCCTGTCTCTAAATAAAGTCACATTCTGAGGTCCTGGGGCTTAGGACTTGAACAGAGCAATTTAGGGAGGGGCACAAATATTAATTTATTATCATTTAAAAAAAATCATCAATTTATCTTACACATTTGTTGTACCCATAGCAAATTCTGAATGGAAAGAGGGATAGGTATACATAAATAAAATGAACCTTGTAAGAGTCCTAAGATGGAGAAAGAGGCTTCAGAGTGAGCCAAACCTGTGAGTAACTACTTCATAAATACCCTTGTTTATGTTTGGAGAGATATGATGGCTTTTCAGAGATTCAGTTGGCATGTGTTTCCAGCAAGGGATAGCAATCTCAATGCAAGAAATGCTCTTTGTGTTCATGAGCTTGACGTTTGTGTGACTGAATGATGGGAGATTAAAGCTGATGGTTTATGTAGGAGATTATGATTTTTAAAAGTGAGCTGGAGTTAGATAATGATAGTATGGTGGAGGATGTAGAGTGCAATTCTGGGATGCTTGGCTGGCCATGTGGCCATCTGACTTAGGAGAGGAGCATCTGCTGGTGTTTGGTCCACAGACGCTGTGTTGGCCAGGCCTGTTCTTTTATGAGTGAGCAGTGAAACTACCTAGGACCTGGGGAAGTCCCAGCTGAAAGCTGACTCATCAGTGAGGCTGTTTTGTGCTTCTTCCATGAAGACTTATGGTATAAAATATCATTAAGAGTAACTTATCAAAAGATTTTCCATAGAAATCTTAATTGTTGATAATCTGGTAATCCTTTTTAGGGGGTAATTCTGTTCTTCGGAAACTGACAAGGATTGCCAATAAAAGTTTGGGGTTCTGATCAGTACCTTCATTGATCCATTTAGGAGATATTTATTGGCCACCTCTGGGTTATTAGGCAGAGAGATAAAGATCTATTAAGCCCTGATCAAAAACAAACAAAAAACTCAAGTAGATTGTTTTAGAGAAGTCTCTGAGCAGGTATATACAGTTTGTCTGTCAGAGGATTATCAGGGGCTTGCAGCTGTTTCTCTTATGCCTGGGGCAGTTTCCTTTGTTATGTTGTGGTCTCAGAGTAATTGAAATAGTGAGTTTTGCTTTTTATAAACCACAAAGTCAACACTTCAAAAGAACACATTTGATCTTCCTTTATATAAGCTGTTTAATTATACTTGAGAAATGAGGTATTGTCCATTGTTTATACAATTATGAATTCAGTACTTCACACACACACACACACACAATCTCCCTGGTTCATGCGATGTTCTTTCTGAGGTCTGAGTTCACTTCTGAAGTTTAAGAGGAGTTTCACTTCAGCCCTTTTTGTTTTGAAGCTAGTTTTTATGATGTCATTGGAATTTAATGTTTAGGACCTTTTGATTTTCAAAGGTCACTGTGGTCATTTTGTTAATTTTCAAGTTGTGGCAATTACTGACTTGGAGCATTTCACCATTTCTCTCGTGTGTAGTCTTTGACATTTATAGAATCATGCGAGATTGTCCTTTAGGGATCAGTGTTTATGGGTGGATACACTCAGTGTGTTCAGGGGTTTCTGTATTTTCTTCTGGTTTTGTTATTTCCTCCAGGAAGGTACACATTTGTGCGTGTGTGTGTGTGTGTGTGTGTGTGTGTGTGTGTAATTCAAGTCTTTTCTTGTAAAAACTGGTATTGTCCAGCTAGTTTAAACCTTTTCTCTACAAAGAAATTTCCAGTGTTACTACTTCCATAATTTCACCATTTCCTGAGCTCTCTTTTCTTTGTTGTCCTTTGTAGTTTCAGGAAACCATTGTGTAGAAGATATACACATACACACACATAAATATTCCTTGGTAAGCTCCTTCTTTAAGCCCATTAATAAATTTCAGATGTCTCAGAGTTTTAAAAAAATTGTTAATTTATAACTTCTCATGTTTGTTATTTACTATGTCTAGCATAGTCAGAAAAATCTGAATTATCTGGAAATTATAGGCAGCCGTGTGTCTTTGATTTTGGGGACTTGTTGGAGGTACACAACTGCTCATGGGAGTCTCTTTCTGAGTCTGTTTGAAATTCCTAGCTGCATAGTTCTTTTTCACTTTTGATCATGTCTAAGTGTATACCTTCCACTTTCTGTTTCTGTGATACCAATAGAATCCCTATGTTTTGACCCAATTACCACAATCTTGCTTAGAGAGAGCAAGAGTCTCTGTCTTCCTTGGCCTCCAGTCTGAGACCATGTTTTATTTTATTTTTATTTTTATTTTTTAATTTTTATTTATTTATGATAGTCACAGAGAGAGAGAGAGAGAGGCAGAGACATAGGCAGAGGGAGAAGCAGGCTCCATGCACTGGGAGCCCGATGTGGGACTCGATCCCGGGTCTCCAGGATCGCGCCCTGGGCCAAAGGCAGGCGCCAAACCGCTGCGCCACCCAGGGATCCCTGAGACCATGTTTTAATTTGTAGTTAACCTTACATTAAACATCTCTTCTGAAGAGATAATTATGCTATTTTAATTCATGGAATCTCAAGATTTAAATGGATTTCAAAGGTTCTGTCAAAGCTTGAATCAACTCTGTAGCATTTAAGCCAAAAGATGATTCATGTTCTGTTTAAGTTCTCCAGTGATGGGGAACTAGGGACTTCTTAAGGCAGTCAAAACCATTTGAGAACAACTTTTGTTAGAAAATTTCTTATATCTGTTGAACTGTAGTATGATGCTTGGTAGTTCTTTACCCTCTCGTCCTGATTATGTTTACCAGAGAGACCCAGGACAGGTGAATACTGCCATGGACAGCCCTTCAGCATCCCTTAAGACTCTTAGCTTGGGGCACCTGTTTGGCTCAGTCGGAAGTGTGTGGGACTCTTGATCTCAGGGTCATGAGTTCAAGCCCCACAATAGGTATAGAGATTACTTAAATAAATAAAGCTTTTTAAAAAGTCTGTTAGCTTGCTTTTGTTGTTGTTTACTAGTAGAAGCTTTATAGAGCAATTCCTAAGATGCTAATTGTAATGTAATGCATTTTGTGGTCTAGTTGCTAGCAAGCAAAAAGGATTTTGTGTTTATTTCTTCATTCCCAGGCAGCTGAAAAAGTTGGATGAAGATAGTTTAACTAAACAACCAGAAGAAGTATTTGATGTCTTAGAGAAACTTGGAGAAGGGTAAGTGTACAGAAAATACAGGTAGACTGGTAGGTCCCAATCTTTTTCTTCCTCCAACAGCAGAAGGAGCTGAACCTTTCTTATGCCAATAATTCACAAACTTAAGGAGGAGGAATGTTACATATGGCACTGCTCTGGGTGGGTGGGTGGGGTAAATATATAGCTTGAAACGCCCTCTCCCTTTTTTCTCCTTACTATTATAGACAGATTTAGTGATGCCTCTTCAACACCAAGGGCATCTATTGTTTTCTCTTTTATAGAATCCATAATTTACATGATTTTACGTAACAGCATTGACTACGCTTCATTTAAAATTTTTATTAATCATTTTTATTTGCTGTTCAGAGTTTCTGGTTAATTCGTAATAATTATTGTTTCAATAAAATGGAATTCAGCTTTTTAGTTAATGTAGCTTTGTGAAGTATAGTAAGTAAATCAAGGACTGTCACTACCTTCACAACTTCCAAGAGGTTGACAATTCCAGGTTGGGAACCAGCGGACTACTTGAAATCCAAATTTGTGAATAAGTGTATAAAATACTGCTGAAATGGTATTTAGTAACAGTGGTTTTTTGTGTATTCTTCAGTGATAGTTTCTGCATAAATAAGCAGGTGTGTGTGTGTGTGTGTGTGTGTGTGTGTGTGTCTACATGTTCAGTCTCTCAAGAGTACTTATAGTTCAAGAGAAGACCTGAAATACTTACTTTTTAAAATGTCTATTGTTTAAGTGCTGTGTGTCCTTGGAATCAAGTCTTATATGTCATTAAATTATTTTGGGGTTTAGTGTTATGTATGTCTAATATAGGTCAGCAATGTTAAACTTGATCCTGGATTACATGGCGTAGGTTTTGTTTTCATGGATTGCCTCCTTGTAAAAAACATTAGTCATCTTTTTATAAGTTGGAAAAATACTCTTTGGAATGAAGACATCAACCAGAGAAGGGAAGTAAAAGAGGCCACCAGCTGTGCTGTTAGAAGACAAGTACAAAATGAATGCAAAGACTGCAAGTTGACTTGGCATCCTTAAAGGTATGGGAAAGTGATAGACCTTCCACATCTCTTGCCCGTCCTTTTCAGCTGTAGCTTGGTCTCCTTGCTAGTTTCCTCAGTGAAGTGAGTCTAATGCCCTTCATCTCGCAGTGTTTACAGGTTGAATAAGATAAAGCATGGTAGGCATAATTAAATGGGTAACTAACTTGTTTCTTTCAATTTTGATAGAAGTGTGTTACAGTAGTATGGGCATAAACTCTGAGGTTATACCTGTGTTAAAACCCTTGCTCTACTGTTTATTAGTTACAATAAATGAGTGAGCTTGAGCAAATTAATATTTTGAAGCTTCAAAAACCACAGCTAAAAAGCACAGATATTAGTATACACGTCATTTGGGTTATGTCCAGCATTACCCAAAATACAAGATAATAGGGGTAAAGTACTGAGTATAGTACCTGTCACATAGTAAGTGCTCAATAAATGGCAGCTATGCTTATTTTGTTGTTAAATCTACCCACTGAAGCATATTTCAGACCATATCATATCAAATTACAGTTAAATCTTAAATCCTCAGTATATTTAGGCATTCCTGGAGGGAGCCCTGTTTGAGTTGATTGGGTTTGGGGAACACCAAAAGAAAACTACAGACAGAAAATATCTCAGTAATATATTCTGATAATACAAGAAGGGGCAACTAAGCTAATTATGATTGTTTTTAATTGTCTTTTAGATCTGTGCGTGGCTTCATCGAGAAACTTGGAATTTCCTTACAAAGATAAAACCAGCAAGAAAATCGAAATAAAGCTTCAGATCTTTCTCCTTGTTTTATCCATAGTGTTCTTTTAAGTGTTACCATAGATGCTTGGATTTCTGTCATCGTGACTGAATGAACCTGAACAAGCTTCATTGAACTAACAGAATCCTGGAGGAAGACCTTAACTCCATTTAACTGTTGAAATACAAACTGCCATGCCATCCTTTAATTGTTCTGGAAAATGAGTAGATTGTGAACACTCACTGACTTGTGCCTTATGAAATGAGCTCTGCCTGATGGACTGTGTTAGAGTCCCTGGAACCCACAGTTCTCTATATGGAGGAAGTCCTGTGGATCTGTGGCAGAGTAGATCCAACACTCCAGACCAGGACAAGTGACCCATGCTTGGAAAGTATTTTGAATAAGAACTTAGCACCTTTTTCCTTCTATTATACTTAAAGTTTTACACCTTGACTCATTCAAGTTTTTGTCATAGGATAACAAAAACATCTTGCTCCTCATTTCATAGCTAATGAGTGGTATTGTTAAGACTTATATCTAATTAATTTGGCTTCAGATACTATATTGTTTCTGTTTTTCCAAATTGATCCTTGCTTTGTATGGCTCATGTAGAACTCCTACTTCCCCATCATTTTTGTTCTCTACTGGTCAAAATTCATTGAGTCACTGTAGTTTTTATTATGTAGGGAATCAGGTCTTACAGGACTTGCCTAAAAGCAACAATAACTGAAGCCTTCTAAATTCTTTTCAGGTCACTGTAAGTGTGATATGTGGAATCATGAATCTTACTTGTTCATATAAGCTATTGGAGTATTCTTTGCTCTCAAGATAGTATAGGGAAGTGTGGGAAGTCTTCTGGTCAGGACTGCTGAGTATGTGCAGAGACCTCTCTTTCCATTTCAAATAGATAAAACTAAGGAGTGAAAATTAAATTTTTAAATAAAAGCACACATGGCCAGCTATGGACCAGGGATGGAAAAGCTATGTAATAGTAAGAGGAGAGTAAAGCTTGCCCTGTCCTTGTCAGAAGATGGTAGGTGTGCTTCCTACATGAAGTTGTGGGATGGATGAGGCTCCCCATCTATGAACTAAAGGTGAAATAAATTTGCCTTATCACTGTTAGAAAATCTCATTGGCCTGTGGCCTGGGAAAAAAGTGGAGTACTGGTTTGACAATAGGAACTGGGCCTTGACTACATTCAGGTTTGGGATTTAGAGAGGCAAAAATCCCCCAACTCCTAACACAAAACCAACTTCAAGTTGTAGCATCTTGCTAACTGGATGAGAGAACCATGAAACCATCAAGATACATGAAATGCTTGTGGCAGTTAGCACTGTGTAGAGGAAAATCATTTGAGATAAAAGAAAACCCAATCAAGGAATATACTGCTATGGAATAATGAGCAGAACAAATGGTAGAATTCACATCTAAGGAAATAGAAACAATGAAGCAATCTCAGAAGGGATTTAACATGTTTGTTGCTGATTTTCAAAAAGATACAAGGAGGGAATAACATCCTTAAGAACACCAGGTGATGAACACGAGCAGATAGTTACAGGAAAAATTAAAGTTGGGAATCTTGGCAATGATTGAAGTTCTGGAAGCCCAAGAAGTTGGAAAAACAGTGAACTAGACAAGCTGAAAGAATTTGTGAATTGAGAGATAGAAATGAAACTGATCACAAAATGCAGGACAGAGAAATAACTGTTAGAAATCAGGAGGTCAGCATGTATTGAGCTGCAATATAAGTAATAGAAATTCTAGAGGAGATAATAGAAGAGATAGGAAATAGATAATGCTGAGAATATCCAGACTTGAAGAAAAACCTGTGCCCTCAAATGGAAGAAGCTTATGAAGTGCCAAATGAATCAACTCCTAGTTATTTTATAGTAAAATTGTAGAATGTGAAGGATAAGGAGGAAATCCTGAATGCTACCGGAAGAGAGATTACCTATGAAAGGTGATAATCCGATGATAGCCAACTTCTTAGCAACTAATAGAAACTGGAAAACTGTAGAAAGGGTGCTGAGGGAAAGCTATGATCCAAGAACTCTCTATCCAGCAGAGCTGATTCCAATGAGAATGTGAAATATGGACATTTTCACACATACAGGACCTAGTGTTATCTAGAATAACTTTATAGAATAACAGAATACCCAACGAGCAATGGCTGACCAATAAGGGCATTTTATAAGGGCAACTAAGTAATAATAAAGCTGGGGTTGATGAATGATGAACTGGCTTGATAATGGTTTAGCATTTTTGTAATTCTCTATCTCAAGATGGCTGCATTAGTTTCACCCATCATGCCTTACAAAATGGTAACCAAAGTAGGAAAGAAAGTGGCAGGTAAAAATGGGCCTTCTTGTGCATTTCTCATCAGGGAAGAAAGCCTCTCGCAGAATCCCTTCAGAATTCCCCTCAAATTTCATTGACCAGAGCTAGGTCCTATGCTTACTACTAGTTCAGTCACCAGGAGAAGGAATAGGAATGCTGACTATCTGGACTGCCCTATTTTATTCCCTAGGAACAAGCCTTGGCTGTCCCAGTGAATCAGAATTTTATCTTCATAAGGAAGAAGGGGCAGCAGGCAGGTATTCCACACACGGTTAGTGGTTGCCTTTCTCTGGGAAAAAAAATTACGTAACTTTTAAGGATCATTATACTAGTTTTGCCAACATGAGGGAGTCTGATGGGATGGAAATTTTAAAATGTGTTTTGCATATTTTTTTTTAGTTTTATGTTACTTTCACTTTGAAATGGTTCTGGAGCAGCATTTTGGCAGCTAGAGCTCTCAGCTACTTTAATACATCAGGTGGTGCTGTTCTGTTGTTTTTTTCGCCAAGACAGTGTGAAGAAATAGGTGGGTTTGGGAAGAAGGAAAGACTCATTGTGTTTTCACTGACAGCCATCAAGGTTTCCAGTGAAAATGTAATCAGTGTGGGGTGATGATATTTGACCATAACAACTGTCTTGTAGTTTGAGTTGTCATTTTACAGGTGAGAACATTTAGGTATGAGAAGGTTAATATGTTTGCAAATGATGGCCAATATGTCATGAGGGTAGGGTGCAAATCCTTGGTCTTTCTATTCTAAGTCTTATGTTCTTTTGGGCCCCAAACTGAATGGACAGATAGCTTTGTATTTATTTTGATAATAAGTTCCTAAGGGAAGATGGAGTAAAAGGCTTTGTGTGTACTGTGTTCACATGATACTAACATTTGAAGGGACTTAGATTTTTAATTAGTTTCCATAATGTTTTAAGTATTATTGCAATTAAGGAGCAAGGATGGAAGGACCTTGTGGTATTGGAGTGAACACAAGAATACATAGATCTCCATTTCTGCATTCTAGTCTGGGTAGATATGGGGAGAACATAAGCTTTGTATTCAGACACATCAGGATTCACATCCTGGCCTGGCCACTTATTTTTCACCTCTGACATTGGACAAGTCCTGTAACCTCTGAGTCTTTACACATTTTTCTATGAAATAGGGCTAATGACTTCTTCTGTTTATTTTTTGTAAGTATGAATTGGGATGATGCACAGTTTCTAGCAGACATCAGGCAGGCAATGCATGATAGTTACTATAATAGTGATTATTTTAATTGAATACCTTCAGTCAAGATTAAATGTGAAATTAACAGTTTTTTTTCCCAAAGTACTTTAGCTATTTCAGTTTTGCAGTTGTAAATAATATAGGTGTATTAGACACTTAGGGATATAAATTAGAACCTTGAGTTGCAAAAAAAAAAAAAGAACCTTGAGTTGCCTTTGTTTTACCACTTTTTATCTCTGGACTCGCGTTGCCTTTATAAATGTTCTCTTTCCCCCAATCACAGGTCCTATGGCAGTGTGTACAAAGCTATTCACAAAGAGACTGGTCAGATTGTTGCAATTAAGCAAGTTCCAGTGGAATCAGACCTACAGGAGATAATCAAAGAAATCTCTATCATGCAGCAATGTGACAGGTAAAGGCATGTGGTGTTACTTTGGACAGAACATGGTTTTGGATTAGCTGTGATTATTTGGAGTTTAACATATACAGATGTATTTACTTAGAGATTTTGCGGAAGAGAAAGTTTAGGTGGAATCACTACACATGTTCTTTTCCGAAACAAATCTGATTAAAAAAATGTGTGTTTTAGTAGCTAAATTTTTATAGCCTCTGTTTCTGCATAGATTTTTTTTTGTTTGTTTGTTTTTGCAGTAAGCTCCCTATTTCAAAACTAGGAAGAGGAGCCAGAGAGGCAGAAGGTGGTGGTGCTGGCTTTTTTTTTTTTTTTCTCCATCTGATAATGATCTCTTTTACTTCCTATTGAGAAAACATTTCTGTAGAGATAGCTAAGAAGAGATAATCAAAATACTTTTAGCTGTAGAAACATTAGAATATCAGATAGATCCATAAAAAAGAGCATTTTTTAAATGTATTGCTGTTCCTTCACATTTAAAAAAGAATTCTTCAAGCTCAGAGTAGTTAAGAATTTTATTTTTGAGGAACTAAGATTTGTCAAATGCTTTAAGCAGGAAGTCAGGCCACCAGGCAGCCGCAGAAAAGCACGTGATCTCTTCTGAAATTCAGTCACAACATGAGTCGGTTGCAGTGATGGAGCTGGCTTCCCCACTACTGTTTAAATTTGAGAGATATACAAACTTAGGGTCAATGCCAGCTCTAGGGAGTGGAAAGGAGAATGAGAATGTCTTGCTCCAGAGGCTGCATCCATCCTCCCAAAGCTCTTGTGGTCAGCAGAAAGCTTAGGATCTCCAATTTGTAAAGTTTCAGCATTGGGGCAGGTGAGGCTGCCTATGAGGAAATTTGCCCAGGAGCCCTTAGATCTCACAGGCTTGTGAATGCAGTTACTTCTCTTCTTCTCCCTCCCTTCCTTTCTTTTATTCTTATACTTTTGTGGTTATTCTCTACTAGATGAAATGTATTTCTTGGCTGGATGGACCATAGTTTGGTAGAAGTTTTCCTTTCCCACCTCTATGAGATACATACAGTATAGAAGCTCTTTCCAGTTGGCACATTGAACTTTGCCACTCCTTTTTAAAGATTGATTTTCAGAGAAAGAGAGAATATGTGTGAGCTGGAGAGAAGGGCAGGGGGAGAAGGGGAGAGAATCTCAAGCAGACTCCCCACGAGCACAGAGCCTGACTCAGGGCTTGATCGCACCACCCCAAGATCGTGACCTGAGCCAAAATCCAGAGTCTGATGCTTAACCGACTAAGTCACCCAGGTGCCCCAAGGGACTTTGACTCTTCTGTTAGGTTACACAAGAGCTATGTTTCAAACAGAGTATGCAAATATGTCTAATTAAAGAAGAGTTATTTCGAAGAGCCTACTCTGCTAAGCATGGTAAGGAGTACAGAGAAGTACGGGGCAGAGTTCTTGTTCTCTGGGAGTTTAGAGACAAATTGGACAGACCAGGCCTATATATATATACAGGAAAATCTAGCTGATGATATAAGATACATAGAAGACATTCCAACAGTAAATAGCTGAGATTACTTCCTTGTAAAGGCAGTAAATACTATAGGAATTTAAGGGAGGGAGAGCAGATGTGGCAACCTGTACCTCAGAGGCTTAACTCATCCATGTCTTCACTAATCGTGTGTATTTCCTGCTGTCCTTGTCACTGGCGTGTTTCCCAAGAGTGAGGGACATTTGAAATTCTGAGCATTGATGAAACCGGGTACATTTTAGCATCTTTGGTAATAATGCAACATTATTTAGCCTTGATAACAATCTAATTAAAGCTAGTAGCTCTCAGTGGGCAGATTATTTCATTTTAATAAGATATTTGACTTTTCTCTGAAATCTCATTTGGTATCTCTCTTCAAGCTTGAGACCCAAAATTCCAGGTCTGATACTGCTATTTTTTCTTTTTAAAATTTTTTAAAAAGATTATTTTTTGAAAGAGAGAGAGAACAAATGGGCACACATGAGCAGTGGGGAGGAGCAGAGGGAGAGGTAGACAAGCAGACTCCCTGCTGAGCAGGGAGCCTGACATGGGGCTTGATCCCAGGGTCCTGAGATCATGACCGGACCAGAAATCAAGAGCTGGATGCTCAACGAACTGAAGCACCTAGGCTCCCCTTGAATATTTTTTCTTTATGATAGATTGTAGTGTGATTTTTTTTTCTTATTATAAAATACATGTGACTTTTTGGAAAAATGTGAATAAAAAGAAAAGAAAATCACTTTTCCCTTTGGAGAGATAATCATTGTTAAATACTACTTGGTATATGTATCCTTCCATATCTCTTGGAATTTCACTGTGCTTACTATTATGTAACCTTTCTTTCTTTCTTTCTTTCTTTCTTTCTTTCTTTCTTTCTTTCTTTCTTTCTTTCTTTTTTTATAAGCAAGCTATCTTATGTCATCAAATATTCTTCTATAATATTTTCCATGGATTTGTGGTTATTCCATTATATGGCTATATCATTATTTCTTAAACTCCCTATTGTTGGACATTTAGATAGTATCTAAGTTTTTATTGTTATAAACAGTACTATGATGGTAACTATTTATTTTTGAATAGCTATAGTTCTCTTCCTGGGAAGAACTGTAGACCTAGAAATGCAGGTTAAAGTACCCATACATTTTTTTCACTTTGGTTATTTATTATTTAGAAAACGTTAATTACTTCATATTTACATTTTTATCAAGAGGGCGTCTATTTTAACCTTAAATATGAATAATTGATCTTTTAAGCAGAGAAACTAATTTTCATGTATAGAAGGCTGTTCACTTATTTGTGTTGTCACTCTCTCTTTAGCCCTCACGTAGTCAAATATTATGGCAGTTATTTTAAGAACACAGACTTGTGGATTGTTATGGAGTACTGTGGGGCTGGTTCCGTGTCTGATATCATTCGATTACGGAATAAAACGGTAAGTTTACCTTCTAGAACAATGCAGCTGAGCTAGTCTCTGGCCTTATATTCCTGGGCATTCTCCTACTGCCGTACCAAGAAAGATGACTGTTGAATTTCCTCTTTTCCATGGTTCTTTCCCCCTTTATTGCTGGTGCCTCCTAAAAGTGGTGTTTTTGACACCAGGCCAATGCAGTGATATTTAGCATGTTTTGCTTATTTCATAGTGGGAAAGAAAATAGTGACTATCAAACCTTGTTGAAGCAATGAGTTTTAAATGTTTAAATTTAGATTTGGTTTTCTTCTCCTACCCAGCATGATTATAGATTTACAATGTCTGTATTCTATTAATTAGAGAATAATCTCTGTGAAAGATTATTTGCCCTTACTGTGATCACTAGAATAAAAGCTAGGAGTCGAGGGCTTTAATTCAGATTTAGTTGTTTATACAGTGAATATTTCTAGAACATTGTTCCAAACCCTAGGGATACAGTAGTAAAGAAGACAACAACCCTGTTCTTGTGTTTATACATTTTCTAGCAGGGCAACCAAAAAGCCAATTGATGGTAACTAGAAAAGAATTACCAGATAGTGATAATTTCTTTGAAGGAACAGGACTGGTGGGGAGTGTTCAGTGAGCTACTTGAGAGTGGATGATGGAGAAAGGCCACTCAGGGAGGTGGCATTTAAAGTAAAACTTGAATGACAAAATGGAGCTAGACTTCTGAAAAGAACATTCTAGGTAGGGGAATAAGTGCAAAGATCCTGAGGCTAGAACAGGTTTGGCACATAAAGAAGGCTACTGTGAGGAAAGAGGAGAGGTTGGGGGAACCTGCAGGAGATGATGTGAGATAGGTGAGCAGACCTGGATCCTGTTGGTATTGTTGGCCACAGTAATGAGTTTGACTTTTATTCCAACTACAACAAGAAGCTGTTGCTGCTGTGGCTTCTTTGTGGACTGTGAATGGATAAAAGTAGAAGCCAGAGACAACTTAGCCTTTGGTTAGTTTGTTTTGTTTTAATAAGAAAAACAGGAATAATACCTATATTAAGCATTTGCAGAATTGTGAAAATTAAATATGTGAAAGTACTTTGGATATTGTGAGGTACTATATAAATTATAAGGTTAAGAATATTTTAAAACTCGGGAAGCCCGGGTGGCTCTGTGGTTAAGCGTCTGCCTTTGGTTCAGGGCATGATCCTGGAGTCCCCGGATCGAGTCCCGCATCAGGCTCCCTGCACGGGGCCTGCTTCTCTCTCTGCCTGTGTCTCTGCCTCTCTCTCCGTGTGTCTCTCATGAATAAATAAATAAATAAAATCTTAAAAAAAAAAAAGAATATTTTAAAACTCAAGTCGTATCCTCAAAAAATTAAAAATAAAACTACCCTAAGATCCAGTAATCATACTACTGGGTATTTTCCCAAAGATTACAAAAACTAATTCGAAGGGATATATGCACCCCTGTGTGTATTGCAGCATTATTTACAGCAGCCAAATCATGAAAGCAGCCCAATGTCCATTGGAAGATGAACGGATAGAGATGTGAGGTGTATCCTTATATGTGTATATATATTTATAAATATCATTCAACCATATAAAAGAATGAAATTTTGCCATTTGCCACAACATGGATGGATCTAAAGAGTATAGTACTAAACAAACTAAGCCAGTCAGAGAAAGACAAGTGTTGTATGATTTTACTCACATGTGGAATTTAAGAAACAAACAAGCAAACAAACAAAGAAAAAATAGACAAACCAAAAAATGGACTCTTAACACTAGAGAACGAAACAGATGGTCACCAGAAGGGAGGTGGATGGGGGATGGGTGAAATAGGTGAAGGGGAGTAAGTGCACACTTATCATGGTGAGAACTGAGTAATATATGGAATTGTTGAATCCGTAAGTTATAGACCTGAAACTAATATAAAACTGTATGTTAACTATACTGGAATTCAAATAATAATAATTTAAAAATAAAAAATAAAAATAAAACTCAGTTGTAACTTTGGATTATCTATATGACCATATCCTTTTCTTAATTTACATTATTCAGAATTAGTATTTTTTTCTAATCAAATAGCAAATTCTTTAGCTAGGAATTATGTCCTATCATAAGATATATTTAAAGAAGTCCCAAATCTTGAGTAATTTATTGAATTAAAAATTGGGCTCCAGAGACAGCTCAGTTGGTTGAGCATCTGACTCTTAATCGCAGCTCAGATCTTGATCTCAGGGTTGTGAGTTCAAGCCCTGCATTGTGCTCCTTGCTGAGCATGGAGCTTACTTAAAAAAAAAACTGGGTTCAAGGCCTTCTTCTGTGCAGCATTAAGTTATTGTTTCAGGTATTTTGAAACCATCCAAAATGAATTTTGATGGTGCATTTGATGTTTTAATATTAGTTTATTGTATTTATGTAATTTTAAACTATTAAGTGCTAATCTTTAATTATTACACATTATTTTGTAAAATGTTTTAATTCTGTTTTGTGCAGTATGACAGTCAATAGCTACGTGTGGTTATTAAGGACTTTAAATGGGGCTAGTCTGAATTGTGATGTGCTATAAGTATAAAATAACAGATTTTGAAGAGTTACTGCAAAAAGAAAAACATAAAAACTTTACATTTTTAATATATTGATCACATGTTGAAATGGTAATATTTTGGACAAATATGATTAAAATATATTATTGAAATTAATTTTGGGGTGCCTAGCTGGCTCAGTTGGAGGAGCATGTAACTCTTGATCTTGGGGTCATGAGTTTGAGCCCCATGTTGGATTTGGAGATTACTAAAAAATTAATTAATTTAAATTAATTTTGCTTTTATTTATTTTTAATTTTTAAAAATTTTGCTTTTTTATTTTTTATTTTTATTTATTTATTTTTTTACAGACAATATAGATTTTTTTTTAAGATTTATTTATTTATGATAGAGAGAGGCAGAGACACAGGAGGAGGGAGAAGCAGGGTCCATGCTGGGAACCCGACATGGGACTTGATCCCCGGACCCCAGGATCACGCCCTGGGCCAAAGGCAGGCGCCAAACCGCTGAGCCCAGGAATCCCTAAATTTTGCTGTTTATTTTTAAAAGATTTTTATTTATTTATTTGAAAGAGCTTGAGCAGAGGGGGGCAGAGATAGAAGCAAACTTCTCACTGAGCAGGAAGCCCAGTGCAGGGCTCGATCCCAGGACCTGACCCAATCCTGACTTGAGCCAAAGGCAGATACTCAACCTGCTGAGCCACCTAGGCACCCCAATTTTGCTTGCTTTTCTAATGTGGCTACTAGAAAAGTAAAAGTTGTATTTGTCGTTCACATTATATTAATATTGGGCACTGCTCCCTTAACTGATTTGCTTAACTGGTTAGAATAAGGCGTAATAAGTCACATGAACTTTGTTCTGTTTCACTGCAGAAGGTACTCAAACTCTAGTTTGCAACCTTATCAGTAGTGTTTGCTTGGACTACAGTAAGAGCTCTATAATTTGTTAGCACAAATTACTTGTTTGTACTTCAGCTTTGTTTTCTATAAAATGGTGATGATAATAGTACCTATTTCATATGATTTTTGTAAAGATTTAACAAAATTACAAAAATAGTGCTTACAGTACAATAAATGCTATTTTTAATGTTATTAGCAGAATGCCTAGCTCATAATTGATGCTTGTTAACTATTTGTTCATTGACTGGTAACAGAGTAGTTATTAAGCCGTGTGTATTCTTACATCATCTGATTTCCATGACATTCTTGAAGAAAGGTGATGGTCCTGTTTTATAGTTTGGGAAACCGAGACCAAGAGAAGTTTGATAACTTGCTTAGGTCATAAAGCTAGAATGTAGAGCCAAGGGTAAAAAGTAGGTCTTTCTCATCCCGATTCCCATGTTTTTTGCACCATAGCCTACTCTCTTCTAAATATGAGTTGTTTGTCAAAAGGGAGACAGTTTGCTGATGGATTACATTTGGTTGGCACTAGAGTTAGGTCTGCCCCAAGTCACCATGGAACTGAGCAGATATTCTGTGTTGCTCAGCATTCTTGCTTTCATTTATTCATCATTATTCAAATATTTTTTCAGGACTTATTATGTCCTGGGTGGCTTTCTTGGTGCTAGGGATACAATAGTAAACAAACCAAAGACATTTCATTTTTTATTTATTTATTTTTAATAAGTCTGAAGACTTACATTTTTTTTAATATTTTATTTATTTATTCATGATAGACACACAGAGAGAGAGAGGCAGAGGCAGAGACACAGGCAGAGGGAGAAGTAGGCTCCATGCAGGGAGCCTGACATGGGACTTGATCCCCGGTCTCCAGGATCACTCCCTGAACTGAAGGCGACGCTAAACTGCTGGCCACCTGGGCTGCCCAAGACTTACATATTTGTAAGGAGGAAGGAAAGAGAACAAGAGAGCAAGGAAGGGAAAGAGAGCAAGAAGGAAAGAGAAGGAAGAGAGAGCAAGAAGGAAAGAGAGCAAGAGAGAGCACAGGTGCACTCATGAGTGGGGGACGGGCAGAGGGAGAGACTCTTCAAGCAGACTCCCTACTGAGCATGGAACCTGATGTGGGGCTCAATTTCACGACCCTGAGATAATGACCTGAGCCGAAACCCAGAGTTAGAAGCCCTTACCCACCTGAGCCCCCCAGGAGCCCCCAAAGACTTTTTAAAATGGGGTTATGTTCCTAGTAGGGAAGATATCACATGTAGGTATACAAATGCGTAAATCAGATGAGGATATAATACTGCATTTACCAACAAGGTAGGATCAATGAATAGAGAACGATCTAGGAACAGAGGGAACTGGGGAAGGCCTCTCTGACTTTCTGCATGAAGAGAATTGTGTAGGCAGAAAGAACATGAGATGAAAAGGTCCAGAACTGGAAGTGTGCTTTGAGTGTTTGAGGAACAGCAAGGAAGGCTGGAACAGCATGAGCAAGATAGAAAGTAGTAGAGGATGAAGGTAGCTGGGAACTAGATCATGTAAGACTTTGATGAGGACTGGCTTTAATTTTGAGTGGCTCAGGAAGCCATTGGAAAATTTTGAGCATATCTGGCTTTCATTTTGGCTCATTATGGCTCACTGCCATGTGGAAAAGACATTGTCAAGGGTCAAGGGCAGAAGCAGTTAGGAAGACATTTGGATAGTTTAGGCAGGGCATGCTGGTGGCTTGGACCATGGTTATTAGTGATTACAGAGGATATATATGGATATATTTTGTACATAGGGAAGAACCAAGGATGACCTCCAGGTTTTCAGCCAGGGCAATTCAAACTGCCTTTCCCTGAGAAGACTGTGGGAAAAATAAGTAGGTTGGGCGGGTGGTAAGTAGATGGGTAGGGTAACAGTAGAAATAAAAAATTTGATTTTGACGTGTTATGCTTATGATGCTTGTTAGGTATTCAGTTGAAGATGTGGTCAGGTACATGAATCTGATGTTTGGGGAGAGATGGGATAGGAGATGTAACTTTAGTAGGGGTTAATGGAGTGATGGTGTAAGCTGTCAAATGCTGTCACAGGTTGAATACAATCTTATATTCTAGGAAGGGCACTTGGATCTAATTTTTTGCCTTTTTTGAATGTAAAATAATATAAACTGATAGAATTTTAATTTTCCATTCTTTTTTTAGTTAACAGAAGATGAGATAGCTACAATATTGCAATCAACACTTAAGGGACTGGAATACCTTCATTTTATGAGAAAAATACATCGGGATATCAAGGCAGGAAATATTTTGCTAAATACAGAAGGACATGCAAAACTTGCAGATTTTGGGGTAGCAGGTCAACTTACAGTAAGTAAAAATGTTACTTCTATTGGTAACTTTCAGCTCTATCCTGAGAAGGAATTCTTTTCATTTCGTCATTTTTTTTAAATAAAATACCCAATTTCATTGTATTCATAAAAAGGTTATAGAAGGTGCCACTAAGTTGCGAAAGAGGTAGTAGGTTATTTTAGGTCCTTTCCTGGCATTTAGGTCCCGTGACTGAACTTTGATAAAAATAAAAGCTGAAACAAGAAATGATAGAGTAGAAGTTTAAATTTACAAAACGAAGAAAAATTCAATCCAAACTGCTTTCCTTGCAGAATAAGACGTAACACCATCTCAACCCGGTAGCAGTTGGCATTTACTTTACTGAAAACACTCTCCTTGTCCGGTTCCAGGATAGTCTTTTGAGTCTCCTCCCACCTCACCAGTGCATGGCATTGAAAAAAACCACGTTTCAAAACAGGAAATGTAGAATTACTTGGTTTTGAAAAATATCTAAGTATATATAATATAGATGTAGAAAAATAGAAACAGTTCTGGACAGGTAGTACTAAAATTCACAATATTATATATCAAACAGTTTTCTTGGGCAGGAGAAAAAATATTTTTTTGTTTGTTTAGAGTTGGTATCAGGTAGAGTTTTTTGGTTTTTGTTTTTAAATCTGCCTAGATTATATTAGGGAGTTTGATAGGTATTGCAATGGCACAAAAATTGCTTTGCTGTTTAAAAAAGAAAATCAGAAACTCATTCCATATTGTAATTTCTGACCTTTCGAAGATTTTGTTGTTAACACATAAAGTGCTTCTAGGGGACAGTTTATGCTCCCAACTGTAATATATGAATGTGTCCATTTTGGAGGGGCCTGGCTGGCTCAGTTAGTAGAGCATGTGACCCTTGATCTCAGGGTCATGAGTTAAAGCCCCATATTGGGTGTGGAGCCTACTTAAATAAATAAAATAATTAATTAAAAAAAAAGGATGTATTCATTTTCCCTCATATTTGCCAATGCTGAATGAGCAATAAGTTGTATTTTTAAATCATTTTTGAAACAATATTTTTACATTTGATTATTGGCCATTTATAATTCTTCTTTTGGAACTTAACTGTTCATCTTAATTTTCCTAATTGTGTTGGACCTTCTAAAAAAATCTGCTGAAAAAGGTAAACCAAAACTTAAAAATTTTATATTAAAATTATTAATCCTATGTTATATATGTTGAAACATCTTTTTGTAGTTTGCTAGTTATCTTTTTACTTTCATTATGATTTTTCTTTAAACACCAAAGTTTCCAAATTTTATATAGGGAAATCCACTTCCCTTTCATGTTATGGTTTCTGCCTTTGATGTCACCTTTAAAGTCTTTTTTTGCTCCAACATTATATAACTGTTCATCTATACTTTCTTTTAGTGCTTTCTAGGTTTTGTGCTTTGTATTTAAATTTTCAACCTATTTGAACTTTATTTGGTGAAAAGTATAAGTTAGGAAATTAAGTATAGAGTTTTACAAATGACTAGCCAGATGCCCAGTTGCTTTTTTGTCCTTTGTTAATTTGGAATAACATTTTAATTATATCTTCAAGTTATATATGTGTGTGTTTATTTTTTTTTATTTTTTTATGTGTGTGTTTATGTATATGTATAAATACAGACATACGTAGCCATAGTCTGTTCTGAACTTTATATTTTCCCTTGTTATGCTATGCATTAGTATAACTTTGTAATACAGATCAGGCTGGGTTAGTATCCACTCATTAATCTTAGTTTTCAAAAAATTTCTAGGTATCCAAAATACTCTTTTCTAAATGATGAGTATTTCAAGGATATAATCCTCAAAAACAACTTGAGTACCACCATTTGAAAACTGCAAATTTAAGTTTCAGAGCAAAGGAAATGACTAAGCACTAAGGTAGTTCCTGTGCTAGTTTTTTACATAGAATCAACAAAGTGAGATCAATTTAAAAATATCACCTGTCATTTGTTCCTGACTGGCATAGCCTAACTGAAGCCACAGGCATTTCAGAAGGAACAGGAATGATGATGATGGGGACTCCTACTGCATATTTAGTTCTGTTTAAAATCGTCCTCTTCCTAAAATACAGGAGCTCTGGAAAGGTTCTCTTTCATTAAGGCCACACCATTCTGGGGAAGTAGACAAATAGTTATTTGCCTATGTGTGCTAGATTCATATTTTATAAGCCTCAAATTAAGACTTTATATATACATTTTATAAAATTTATGTATATAATAAAAAGAAAAATTATATGTATACATAGACACATACACATGATTTTTCTTTTTTAATTTTTTGATAGCACTTGTTCTGTACCTCCATGTAAACCATCAGAGTGTTGTAGAAATAATGGGATGGAAAGTAAAAGTCCTTGGTGATTCTACCTTCTGGGTGTAACTATTGTTAATAGTTCAGTGTGTATTGAGATTTTTCTTTTGCTAGTCATATAACAACAGTATTTATTATTATTGGTTACTGATTTGTCATATAATGTATACAACATGATTATATATTATATATAATTTTGCCATCTAATTTTCTTTTTATAATATGTCTTATACATTTTTCCACGCTTCCTTTTTAAAAAAATATGGTGGATGAGGCGTCTGGGTGTCTCAGTGGGCCTGACTCTTGATTTCAGCTCACGTCATGATCTCAGGGTTTTGGGATTGAGCCAGCACTCAATGCATAGCAGAGAGTCTTCTTCCCTCTGCCCCTGCCACGCCCCCCTCGCCCCTGCTCACATGCACTCTCTCTCTCTCAAATAAATAAATACATCTTTTACATATATATATTTATTTGAGAGAGAGAGAGAAAGTGAATGAGGGTGGGGGAGGTTGGGAGGGGCAGAGAGAGAAGGAGAAAAGCAAATTCCTTGCCAAGTGGGGAGCTGGACCTGGGGTTCAATCCCCGGAGCCTGAGATCATGACCTGAGCCGAAATCAAGACCTGTTCGCTTACAAACTGAGCCACCCATGCGCCTTTAAATAAATCTTAAAAAAAAAATACGGTGGATATTTATTGTGTTTCATTTACCCCCTTTTAGATGGTCGTTTGGGTTATTTCCTTTTTATTTTTCCCACCTCTCCTACAAATATTTCTCTAACACTTGTGTGTATATCTTAGATACCTGCATATAGGATACATTTCTGGAAAAAATTCAGATCAAAGGATATGGATATTTAAGTTGACAAAATTGCCAAATTGCCCAGAAAAACTTGTACTGATTTAAACTCTAGTAATGCTATTTTAGTGCTTGACTTTCTTTCTTTCTTTCTTTCTTTTTTTTTTTTTTTAAGATTGTATTTATTTATTCATGAGAGAGACACAGAGAGAGAGAGGCAGAGACACAGGCAGAGGGAGAAACAGGCTCCATGCAGGAAGCCTGACGTGGGACTCGATCCCGGGTCTCCAGGATCACACCCTAGGCTGAGGGTGGCACTAAACCACTGAGCCACCTGGGCTGCCCAGTGCTTGACTTTCTATACTGTTACCAGCACTAGTTATTATTAATCTTTGAAAGTTTTGTCAACTTCATTTTAGTGTTTGTTATTTTTGTGGGGTTTTAAATGTGTGTGTTTTAAGAATTCAAAGTCTTCTATGTTTCTAGGTCATTTGAATTTTTTTTGTGACCTGCTCAATCATGCCTTGAGTATGGATGTTTTACCCATATATATATTCCAAGTACAAGATGTTTCTTATTGTTCGAAAAGTTTCCTTTCCTCGATAGTTTTAAAACGTAATGTTAATCTCTACCCTTCTCTGTTTTAGGATACCATGGCCAAACGGAATACAGTGATAGGGACACCATTTTGGATGGCTCCAGAAGTGATTCAGGAAATTGGATACAACTGTGTGGCAGACATCTGGTCATTGGGAATAACTGCCATAGAAATGGCTGAGGGAAAGCCCCCATATGCCGATATCCATCCAATGAGGGTAAGGACACCAGTAGGGTGATTAGCTACTGGTCATTAGAAAGTTAGTGACTTACTTGATTTAGATACCTAACAGTAAATGAATGAGTTGTATATAATTGATAACTGTCAGTACAGACTCCACTAGTTGTAATCAATGATCAACTCAAGTACTCATGTGTTCAAAGATAAGTTCCCTCTTTTTTGGTGGGGAGGAGTGGAGAAGGGTGAGAGGATTTACTGGTAGATTTAAAGAATATAAGCTGCTGCTTATTATAGAGGTTTTGTTTTTTTTAAATTCTGGCTCTTCTTTTATTGGAAACTCAGTAAATAGTAGTTTTAATTTTTTAAAATAGTTAGAATTTAACTGCAATGTGGTGTTCCGGTTTTTTGGCTTTTTTTTTTTTTTTTTTTTTCAAATACATTAAATTGGCTTGGCCTGGAGGTTAATGAATCCCTTGTAATTTGTGGGACTTCCAGGTTTATGATCTCCTTGCAGTTACTGCTCATATCCTGTGGTGATGATGACCTTTATGGGGGAGGGAACTTTGACAACTGTAGGGCTGAGATTACTGTCAGGATATTGATGCTCTCAGCTCTTGCCTTTTCTTTTTTTTTTTTTTTTTTTTTTTTTTTAAATTTTTTATTTATTTATGACAGTCACACAGATAGAGAGAGAGAGGCAGAGACACAGGCAGAGGGAGGAGCAGGCTCCATGCACTGGGAGCCCGATGTGGGATTCGATCCCTGGTCTCCAGGATCGCGCCCTGGGCCAAAGGCAGGCGCTAAACCCCTGCGCCACCCAGGGATCCCAGCTCTTGCCTTTTCACTTTGAAAGCCAGCGTACAGTGGTTAGCAACAACCAAAGAAAACCTTGCTAGATATCGTGAGGTTGAGGCGACAAGAATACATATGAAAGAGGGAGAGAGAGAGAGCTATATCAACTTCTCTAATTGTTATACTTCCCACTTTGAGACACTTAGACTTTTGTTGGTGTGGATGGGTGTATCAGTGGATAAGAGGAAAATATTTTTTTTCAATTTCAGAGGTATCTCTAGTCATATTTTTATTAGTGCACCACTTTTACCAAGAAAACCAATTTTTTTTTTTTTTTTTAACCAGGCCATCTTTATGATTCCCACCAACCCTCCCCCTACATTTCGAAAGCCAGAACTGTGGTCCGATAACTTCATGGATTTTGTGAAGCAATGTCTTGTAAAGAGCCCTGAGCAGAGAGCCACAGCCACTCAACTCCTACAGGTATGAGTCTCCCCACGATGCTGCCTCCCTCTGTTTCATTCATGTACTGGCCAAAAGATGTTGTCAACTCACCTGCTTGGAGATGGCAAAGAAGTATAAGACATTCTCTGCCTCTATGGAGCTTTGAATCTAACAGAGTAGAAGAGAATGTTAAATCATTGAACAAGACAGTAGTGCAAGAAAATGGAGGGCTCTGTGGGGGTCAGAGACTGGGAACCGACATTTCGTAAGCACCTGCTGTGTGCTGGGTGCCATATAATCATCACAGAGGCCCTGTGAGGGATGGGTAATATTTCAGTTTTATAGGTGAAAAAATGGAAGCTTAGAAAGGTTAACTTATTTAAAGTCATTCAGCTGAGAAGCAACAGAGCTGCAACTAGAGCCTAGGTCTTCTAGGTTCCAAAGCAGGAGTTCCCACAAATCTACCCTCTTCCAATGAGGAACTGAGATTAATGGTAGGTGCCCTTGTAGGTCTGGATGAGAGGAGGCCACTTAGGGCTGGCAGTACTGAGACTGCTCTCCTGGAGCAGGTCACCTCGGAGCGTGGGCCTGGAAGGATGGGAACAGTTTGCAGGCCAGCTGCTCAGTGATTAGGAGATTGGATTCAGGAGTCACACTGCCCAGGTTTGAATCCTGGCTCCCTGTTTACTAGCTTTGTGACCTGGGGCAAATAATATAACCTCTCTGTTGCTTTAGTTTTCTTATCTGTAAAATGGAGACAAAGTTTATCTGCCTCTTATATGGTGAAGATTAAGTGGCATAATGTGTATAACTTTGAATGCTGTTTTACCCATATTAAAAGTAGTATGATGTGGATTTGACAAATATCTATGGTTGTTTTGGGCTAGGCCAATGGTTTTCAGCTGTGTCAGACCCAGTATTTCCCCTCTTCCTCCTTTTTTAACCAATATGTATATTTAATACTTCCACTCCTGTTCTGGATTGAAATTCATAAATCATGAAATCTGTTTATGTTCATAATTTAAAAACAGCTAGTATAATGTATATGATATAATGGAGACACAAAGATTTATAATTAAATATTTGTCAGTATAGCAATAGGCTCTAGCTTGACTCAACCTGCAGATATAATGAGATAGTTATATACCTGGACCTAGAACCATAAATGAGTTTATTTTATTTTTTTAATGATTTTATTTATTTATTCATGAGAGACACAGAGAGAGAGGCAGAGACATAGGCAGAGGGAGAAGCAGGCTCCCTGTGGGGAGCTCTATGCAGGACTGGATCCCAGGCCTCTGGGATCACGACCTGAGCTGAAGGCAGACACTCAACCACTGAGCCACCCAGGCGTCCCCATAAATGAGTTCAGATTTAGGAGCAGTAAGAACAGAAATCATTCTATTCAAGCTATATAGGACAATGAATGGGTAGATGCTAGCATAAAAATGATGTTAAATAATAACAGACCAGGCTTATTTGTATCTGATAAGAAGAGGGAAATAGTCTTATAGATTTTTCCAAATGAAGAGAAGAGAGAACAAGGAAATATGATATTCTTCCAAATGAGCTGGCTCTTATTTCTAAGTGTATTGGCACATTCTTTTCCTGCCAGGATGGGGTATTGGTGGTTTTATGGAAATCTTTTTTTTGCAGCCCCAGCACATGCTGAGGCATTCTCTCAGTTTGAGTACTTACAAACATTTAGAGACCATATCCTCTGGTGGGTGCTGGGCAATAGAGAACGAGTTTCAAAGAGAAACACGGGACAACACAGAATAAGTTGAGAAGACAACAGGAAACCCCTCAAAAAGAATTTCCATATGTTGGGAGCCTGGGTGGCTCAGCGGTTTAGCTTAGCGCCGCCTTCGTCTCAGGGCATGATCCTGGAGACCCGGGATCGAGTCCCACGTCGGGCTCCTTGCATGGAGCCTGCTTCTCCCTCTGGCTCTGGCTCTGGCTCTGCCTCTCTCTCTCTCTCTCTCTCTCTCTCTCTGTGTGTGTGTCTCTCATGAATAAATAAATGAAATCTCAAAAAAAAAAAAAGGAATTTCCTTAGGTAACTTTCACAGCATGGATTCCTTGTACAACAAGCAAGATAAGAAAAATGTAAGGTAGTGCTAATATTAATAATATTCAAGCATTTTTTTATAAGTGAAATTCCACAGTATCCTTGTGTTTCAAGTGTCTTTGCAGATTGATATTTGAGTTTACATCTGTTAGATATTTGTGACCAGTTTTAGTATTTCTGTAGTAACTATGCTTTTGTGCTAAAATCCCTTTTTATCTAACTTTGTCAGAAATGCTGTGTAGTACATTGTATGGAAGGAATAAACGGAATGAATAAATTGTTCACTGATATTTAAACAATGTCTTTATGACATTTAAGCCCCCTCCAAAATCATCCCCTAAATTACCGGACTTTTTGCTGGTCTCTTGAAAAACATTTTTGGTATTATTTACTAAAGTATACATATATTCTGAGACATTCGAAAGGTGTGCACAAAGTGCCCCAGTTCATTGTTGTGCAGGACTCTTCCACACGTGGAAGGAGTGCTGGTGTCCCTGCTTTTCCTCACACACCATTGGTGTTCTCCAAACATGGTGACAAGCTTCCAGCATGTTTAGAAAACTTCCTCTAGGGGGTGGTACCACTCTGTTGAGAATCTCTAGATTTGGCAGACAGAAACAGAGACTTTGCAGCCAGGCTGAAAAAGATGGGCAAAGCCTGAATGTGCAGTCAGAGTGATAAAGTGAGTGTGGTTTCACAACTGTTACCCAAAATAGAGAAAGATGAGATTTGTTGATTAAGCAGCTATTATCCAGTACCTACTGTGTGCTGGGTACTGTGTATGCACTGGTGCCCTATAAACCATTGCCAGTGTTGTCTACTTTCTCTTTTAAGCACCCGTTTGTCAAAAGTGCCAAGGGAGTGTCAATACTGCGGGACTTAATTAACGAGGCCATGGATGTGAAGCTGAAACGCCAGGAAGCCCAGCAGCGGGAGGTGGACCAGGATGATGAAGAGAACTCCGTGAGTGGCAGGCAGTGCTGTGGGCCTCAGGCATGAATGCGTGTTATTTTATGATTGCCGGGTCAGTTGAGATGAGTAGGGGCTAACAAGTCCGCCGCCTGGAGCTGAAGACACTTCCTGAATGACTATGTCCTGTCCCGGCCACTGGTAATGGCTTGCTGAGGCTGGCCTTCTTCTCATAGCGCTTCCTAAGACACTTTCAAATTTTACTGTTTTGCCCCATATCATTTTCTCAATTTATTTTTTTCTTCAATTTTTTTATTCGGAAAAACGAATGCTCAGATCGGAGATTTGTTTTTTTGTGTGCCCTTTTGGAGAATCAAGGATCCATACTAAAATATAGATTTTACACTCATGGACTCCCTCACAAGCCTGAGATTCCAAGGGTGTGCACCTCAGCTTCTTAGATCTACGTTGTAAACCCCCCCCCTTTTTTTAGAAAAAAAATTACTTATGTAATCTCCCCACCCAATGTGGGGCTCAAACTCACACCCCTGAGATCAAGATTTGAGGGCTCCTTTGACTGAGCCAGCCAGGTGCCCCTCTGTTATAAAACTTTGAAGAGGAGATAGGAAGGGGAGAGGGGGAGGATGTTTCTGGCTCTTGCTTGCCTGACTTTGTGGTCTTATTTGGTTAAGTAGGTTCTAAGACCCTCAGTTCTGTGGGTCTAGAATCCCAATCAGCGTCAAATCCAGAAATGCTTGCCCCGATATGAATAATAATTCAAAACCTTTCGATCCAGTTAGCCCTGATTTGAGGTTTGTCCTCTCACAGGAGGAGGATGAGATGGACTCTGGCACAATGGTTCGAGCAGCAGGTGATGAGATGGGCACCGTCCGGGTAGCCAGCACCACAAGTGATGGGGCCAGCACTATGATTGAGCACGGGGACACGTTGCCATCACAGCTGGGCACCATGGTGATCAACACAGAGGATGAGGAAGAGGAAGGGACCATGAAAAGTAAGGCTCTGGTTAAATATACTCCCTTCTCAGACAACCCCTGCAAATTCTAGAGAACACAAGCTCTCACAGTCCACATGGACTCAGGCTGGAGTCACTTTCTGGTTGTGCAGGGGTGGGTGCAGGAGGGGAGAGCTGGCCTGAGGCATCAGAGGCAAGAAAGCATCAGCAATGAGGAAGGTCTTTCTTTTGAGCTGGAATAGCCACCTCTCATCGAATGTTGTCATTTTCTCCTTTTCTTTGATCTGTGGAGGCAAATATATTTGTATTGTTTTGATACATAGTTCAAAATGGGATGTGATTCTGAGCTATTTACTATAGGTATCTTCAGTCGATTTCTGTTTTCTGTGGATCTAACCCAGGTTTACCAATACTCAGTCTGTAGTCAGGATGACTGTACAGCTTTGAAAATCTTATCAAGTCCCTTCTAGTTGAAATCTGTGCTTTGCTTCTTATCCCACTCTCCTTTTTGGCCTGTGGCCTTGTCCTGACACTGGTGCTTGGCTCTCAGGGTGCTGTCTGCCACTCTGCTCCTCTGTTGCTTCCCTTCCCTTAATCTCTGTATCACAGAGGAAAGGAATTGGGGATACAAATGGTACTACTAATTGAGCTCTGGATGCACATTTTAGCCTGAGCTTTGCATAGGCTTAAGTCATTATGATCTTTTTATAATCTGTCCACCCCCCCCCCTTTTTAAAGTTTAAAAGTCCTTCCTTTAAACAGGGACTGTCAAACTATGGTTCACAGGGCAAATCCAGCCCACTACCTGGTTTTGGCAATAAAGTTTTATTGGAACATAGCCCTGTCCATTCATTTACATACTGTCTTTGACTGCTTTTGTACCACAGAGGTGGAGTGACCAGTTGTGACAGAGACTGTATGGCCCCCAAAGCCTGAAATGTTCGCTCTCTGGTTCTTTATAGACAGAAAAAGTTTTGTGACCCCTGCTCTAGACCCTTTGCTTTGTGATTAATTCATTTCATGAATTTTTCTTCAATGCTGTATTCAAGTACTTTGCTAGATGCTGAAAAAACAGTCCTTGCACCCAAGGAATTCGTTGTCTTGTGTGGGGGACAGACCACTAATTAATGACACGTCAGTGTATGAAACAAGTTCTAAAATAGAGCTAATCCAGGGGCTTGGTAAAGCAGAATGAAAGAGTATTCAGTCTGGATTAGGGATTACTGAAGAATTTCTGAAGGAGAAGGCAGGAAGGTTGGCAGGGAGTAGGGTGGGTGGAGGTGTTCCACAGAGGGAGCAGTGTAACACAGAGTCCTAGAGGCAAGAGAAGGGTAGATCAGCGCAGGGGAGCCATAGCCCATTTATCGTGACTGGAGCAAGCCAGTCTAGGCTGTGGGCCCCAGGCAGCCCACTCTGCTTTTCACCTTTCAGGTCTATGTGTCTATAATCAAGTCTTTGTTTATGAAGAGAAAAGGTTTTCTATTTTTCTTTTTTCTCTTTTGGGGCCAAGACTCATTATCTGTCTTAGGATTCTGGTCAGAGGGGTACAGGTGGTGAAAGAGTAATAGTGCTGTTGATGGATGTGTAGATTGGTATGACTTTTCTGGAATGTAGTATGCATCAGGAGTTTAAAAGGTTCAGACCTTTGATCCAGTACATTCCACTTCTAGGAATCAGGCCCAAGAAAATAATTGAAGATAGAGAAATTATATTTAAGAATTTTTCCAGATATGTTACTTATAATTGTAAAAAAAAATTTGGATTAATTTAAATGTTTAATAGATTATTGGTCAAATAAATTATGATACATCCATAAGGGGGACTAATTATGCAATACAAAAACATTAAAAATCCTGTTTTGGGACAATACTTTGTGAGTTAGGAAAATACTTATGATATGTTGTAAAGTGAGAAAAGAAGGAAGCAGAATTATAGCATTCCCCAGTTTTACAAAAGTAAAAAGATAAATTAACATATGTTGATGTGTACTTAGGAGAAAGACTGTAAAAAAGTATTGCAACAGCTGGGGGTAAATAAATCAGTTATTAAAAGTAAATATTATTGGTAATAGGATCATTAGTATGTTAAATTTTATTTATTTTCTAAAGTTATTTTCAGAAAAGAAGTCTGACCAAAAATACTGCTGCTGTCATTGTGTGTCCTATAAATTAGGGCTTCGAACTTTGGATTACTTTAAGAACTTTTTTTTGCCCCCTCCCTTTTTCTTCTCACTTTTTATGGCCTTAAAAATGGATATTTATAAGAGTTTATAAAAACATTGTCACCTTGCTAGTCCCTTTAAATTCTTACCTCATTCAGTGTTCTTAGGTGTGTTTCTTCCCCTGCACTTGAGATCAGAACACCTTAGATATACATTTGGTGTTATGTAAATTGTCAAGTGAATGCTATGTACTAAATTTAGCTTGTCCTTTCTTTCTTTCTTTTCTTTTTTTCTTTTCTTTTCTTTTCTTTTCTTTTCTTTTCTTTTCTTTTCTTTTCTTTTTTTTCTTTTTGTTTTCTTTTCTTTCCTTTCCTTTTTTCTTTTTTCTTTTTTCTTTTTTCTTTTTTCTCTTTTTCCTTTTCCTTTCTTTTCCTTTTCCTTTTCCTTTTCCTTTCCTTTCCTTTTCCTTTTCCTTTTCCTTTTCCTTTTCCTTTTCCTTTTCCTTTTCCTTTTCCTTTTCCTTTTCTTTTTCCTTTTCCTTTTCTTTTTCTTTTCTTTTTCTTTTTCTTTTTCTTTTTCTTTTTCTTTTTCTTTTTCTTTTTCTTTTCTTTCAGTAGCCAGTGTGATTTGTTAGGAAAGTTTGTTTCATAGTTGGGAGCTGCTGACCTCTAGTCTTTTCACGAACTCTGGTGCTTTATCTTCTTCTACTTGTCTTAAGGGCTTTAATCATACAGATGATTATAATCGCTTATAGTGCAAGGAGGCTGGCCCAATAACATGTGTGGTGCATGCACATGTTACGGAAAATCTGCCCTTTTTTTATTTAAAGAATTAATTTTATTCCAAATGTAATTTTCCAAATGTATTTAAAGTGCTAATTAATTCAATGGGTTGTTTGTTCAGTTTCTGAGCTTGGATGGCTTAGCATGTCTAATGAGAAACATGCCTCTTTTTTATAGTCATGAGGAAAACTGTTTAAAAACCACAGCAATCACATCTGAATGACATTAAATAAACTCAGTTCATCATTAATCTGCTACAGGTCTTTTAATTCAGTTTTTAGGCCACAGGTTTGACAGATTTGCCACTTACTTTGAGATCTTTACCATTTATGGTTTTAGGAGTTAAACTTCTTGTCATGAGAAATTAAAACATACATAATTGCACAGAATAATACCATGAATGACCCCAGTGCCCTGTCACCCAGTTTCAAACCTGATTAACTCACTGCCCATCATATTTCAGCGTCCTCAAAGAAAATAAATTCAGTTGATTTAAAGTAAATCTCAGATATCATTCCATTTCTTTAGAATTAGTTTTAAACATTTAAAGGAAAGTATCTGACCAGGCTTGGTTCAGATCTAGCCATTTGTGTTGTTTTGGAGAAGTCACTTTCCTTGTACGGGCCTCCTCGTGCCTTAATCAGTAAAATTAAAGAATTATGAAACTTAATGTACTTTCATTGTCCTTTATGGTTCAAATAGTCCACACCTTTATAAAAGTTGTATAACATGACTAATATTGAACTGAAGACATACCACTATAGACAGGTCAAGATGATTGAATGAGATGAAGCACTGGAGGCCTGTTTTTGAGCATGTGCCCGTATGGTTCCTATAATAATAGTAATAATTTACATAGATACTCTGTTTTCTGATTATTTTCCACTTAATAAGGGTATGCATTTTCCAAGTCGCTGCAAAGTCCCTGTTTTCATTTTTCATACTTAACAGTGTTTTTTTTTTTTTAAATTTTTTTTTTTTTATTCATTTATGATAGTCACAGAGAGAGAGAGGCAGAGACACAGGCAGAGGGAGAAGCAGGCTCCATGCACTGGGAGCCCGACGTGGGATTCGATCCGGGGTCTCCAGGATCGTGCCCTGGGCCAAAGGCAGGCGCCAAACTGCTGCGCCACCCAGGGATCCCCTTAACAGTGTTTTTTTAAATCATTTACCTGTTGCTAGACATTTTGGTTGTTCCTAATTTTTCACTGTTATAAATAACTCTGCAGGGAACATCTTGCATATAAATGTTCCTTCTTCTTAGTATTCCTAGGATAAGTTTTCAGAAGTATTTGAATAGTTTCATGTGTATTTGTCCTATTGTGAGACTGCCATACTGTCCTCTGAAGTTTGTACCACTTCACATTCCACAAGACTAATAGCAGCTATCAGGACACTTGGTTTCTTCCTTTATATCCCTTTTTTCTTTTTATTTCTCATGTTTTAAATCTCTGTGCCACTTTCTGGGTGTTTTCTCTAGATTTATTTTCTAACTCTGTCATTCTTTTTTTAGCCACATCGAATCAATGGTTTGACCCAGACACTTAAGTTTATTTCCATGGATAAATTTTTTTGCTTCCTAGAAGTTTTTTTTTGTTTTGTTTTTTAGATTTCATGTATTTATGTCGGAGAGAGCAAACATAACCAGGGGAGGGGCAGAGGGAGAAGCAGGCTCCCTGCTAAGCAGGGAGCCTGATGTAGAGCTCGATCCCAGGACCCCAGGATCATGACCTGAGCTGAAGACAGACACTTAACCAACTGAGCCACCTAGGCTCCCCACTTAGAAGTTTTAATTAGTTATTTTTAAATCTGGTTTTTCTTCTTTTGCAATGTTCTAGTCTTGTCTTTATCTCTTTGAATATTATAAATGTCTTTATTTCAAGGTATATTTTAATATTTTTGAGAGAGTGAGAGAGAGCATGTGGGGGGGAGGGGCAGAGGGAGAGGAGAGAGAATCCTTAGCAGGCTTCATGCTCAGTTTAGTGCAGAGCTCAATGTGGGGCTCAATCCCACAACCTCGAGATCGTGACCCCAGCCAAAACCAAGAGTTGGACACTTAACTGACTGAGGACCTAGGTCCTTGTATACCTTGTAGG